AACTGGAACTTGAGAAAAGTGAACTCGAGAAAACCAGACAGGTTTCAGACCGGAAAGAAAGGGCATTGATCCCATTTTTACTTTTCGAGAGGTGCTGGAACACAGACATACCGACCAGTGGTGGACGCTTGCATATTTCATGACCTGAAGACGGCAATTGACTCTGCTGACCGGTGGTAATATGGTAGTGTTTGATTGTCAACGGAGTATTAAGTAGGTATATAATGCTTATCGAAGTTATCTACATGAACTCAAGCAACCATGAAAGGGCTTATGATGAGTTGTCATGTGAATTGATGTCAACTTCTGGTGTCCGCCACAGATGCCCACTCTCCTCATTCCTATTTACCTTCCTCACACAAATACTAGTAGACATAACCTCAGGAAAGTTTAACTTCACAAGAAGTTACCTACTCACTAGAGGTTATCTGGTCGACTCGGAATATGCAGACAACACTGACCTGATAGGTGAAGACGCTGACAAAATCCAAGGGTTTCGTGAACGCCTTCAGCAGAAATTTGAGTATGTTTGATACGCGTTTAACATGCGTTTTTCACCTGTCAAATGCAAGAGGACACTCCACGACTGATATGATGCACCTACTTACTCCCAGTTCAGTGATACCAAGTGAGATGGTGGGAAGTAAGATCAACTCGAACGGAGTGGTTGGTGGTGAAATCTCAGCTCGGATACCACATGAGACCCGTTTGACATTTGCCAATTCACATCATCTGTGGCACAGACTGGTTAGACATCCGACTATCATCGAAAGATGAGTATACTGCTCTGCCACAGTCCGTTTTGTCTTGTTGTACAGTTGTGATACATGGTCGTCGAAAATAGAAGATGTGAAGCGATTACAGGATTTTGATCACACATGTGTTCATAGTATTCCTCAGGTTTGGTGGGATCACTCACCGTGTGAGCAATGTAGGGGTTAACCGACTGGTATTAGGCAAGATAGGGAAGTCGACTGATGAGGTTGTCAACCTGAGTCGAATGAGATGGCTTGGACAATTACTATTTATATCGAGCCACTCCCTACCTTGACGTGGATTATGTTGGAACAGGGTTCAGGGTGGCCAGATGAAGATGTGGCAACAGTTAATGAAGTCTGTGATTGTTGATGTGAGCTGTATGGGGAGATGTAGACTGTCAGGTTAGGGGTCACGTTGACTTCAGGAATCGATGGTGGGATTCGTGGTGACATGGATGAAAGTCGGGTACCAGTAAGATAGATGTGTTCTCTCCTCTCAAGCTTAAATATTTGCATCAACCTTATCTTGTTTCACTTAATTAAGTCCACTTTAATATTAATCTTTTCCATTCACCCGTTCTTTTTGTATACTTCTATTAAGCATGGCAACTTGAACCAATCCACCTGTGTTCGAGGTTTTAAGTTGATTTTGTTAGTAAGTGCTGTTAAAGACAGGATTGCTATTTATTTACAATTATATAATTTAAAGATCCCCGTAAATTATTCAGAACAAGAATAATATGGCGAACAATATTGTTTTCAATAACTTCTTCTCTTTAGGCTGTACAGTTATAAATCCATGAGAAGTGAAATACAACGGCTAAAATAAGGCATGATGTACATCATGCCTTATTATATATATATATATATATATATATATATATATATATATATAATTTGTTCCTTGGGTTCTTAATGGAACATAAGGCTTCACTAGCACGTCTCCATTACACTCAATTCTCTGAAATCTTTTCAACCTGGCTCCAAGACTGCCCACAACCTCTCATTTCCTCCTCACACGATCTCCTCCATGTCAACCTCACCTCCGACGCCCAACTCACAGCTTCCCATCTCACTTCCACTCCACCAACTGGCCTGGAGCATGGTGTCCCAAGTCGGCCTTCTCAGTGTATGCCAATTCAATCCATCTCCACTTCCTTCCACTGCATATTTCTTCAACGATAGCTTCTTCCTTCGTTGGTTCGTTCCCAGAGTTCCTCCTTGCATACTCTTTCTGGCCATCTGGGCTTCAGTAACGAGCCAACGTAGGAGGCAGTTGTTGATGAATGTCTATAGTTTGTTGGAAACGCCTTTCGTAACGTGATAAGTCTCTGAGCCATACAGAAGCACTGATTTGACGTTAGTGTTGAAAGAATAATCAATATACTAAAATAAATGTGATTTCATTGTCACATCTAACCACTGTACTAACATTTTTAATCATAATCTTACTTATCCCTTACAATAACTATTACATAACAGTATCCAGAAATTGATAAGTGTAAAAAGTCTGAGGAAGAAGATGTTGAAGACTGGTAAGGATGTCTGTATCCATCAATTGTACACTACTAACGTTTTCTCTTTGTGTTCTTTTCACTTGCCTATAGGTCACATTTCATATAACCCACTGACATTTCTATTAGCTCCTGCCTCTTTATAATTATACCAATTATACGTTGTCTTACAAGATTACTATAAATTCACTCTATATAAATAGGATCCATTTTTGTTAATAAACATTTTCAGCTCGATACACTCTCAATCGATCATTAAACTTTTGATTACCCTCTATAAATAACACTCCAATTGACTCATCTCAATCTTGAATAGTTTTAATAATTATCGTTCATTCTCACAACTACTCCACATCATAATAAAAATATCTGCTTTGATGAATTTAATAATAATTCTGGAAACATTGATTAGAAGATACAGTCGTTAAAAGAAAAGGCATCCTTTTTTTCTTTTGAAATTATGATTAACATGCCCCAGAATCGTTGTAATTCCTAAAATAAATGTAATCACAGAAATCTAACATGTGGATTTGTGATGTGTTATCACCCCATGATCGTATTCACACTGCCTGCCCATTTGTCAAAACTTCTCATCCCAATTCAAATCTAACTGAATTAGAGAGGTGAGAGAGGGTAGAAAGAGCATCATATTGATTATCATTTGGTTATCTGAGATCCCAGCCGTAGTTTGGTAGACTAGTATTGATACTGGATAGATGAGTTAGTACAGCATCCGGCTGGAAACCCGGTGGTCTCTAGTTCGAATCCGGTCGCGATTCAATTTTCTATTTCACTTCCAATCATCACGTAGAATAAATACTAGTCTGTCAAACTACGGCTGAGATCTCAGATAGTCAAATGATAATCAATATGATGCAACTCGGTTTTCTCAGTGTATGCCTAATCAATCTCCATTTTCTTCCACTGCATATTTATTGGGCGATAGCTTCTTGCTTCGTTGTCAGAGTTCCTTGGTGGTTATTCTTTCTCGCCTTCTCATCTGATCTTCAGTATTGAGCGTAAGCAGAAGCTGTTGATGTATTTCTGTAGTTTGTTGAAAATGCTTTTCATAACGCGCGAAGATTCGGAACAATATGGAAGCACTGGCTTGATATTAGTGTTGAAACTCCCGACTGTTTTGCTTTTCCGATCCTCACATTCACATCCTCATCTGTGCTGCCGTCAGTGCCGCCTGTAGTTGAAAGGATTCCGCCTACGTAGGTAGGTGTGTGAGTAGCCGGAAGTGATGACTTCCTTTACATCTCTCCCGTTCATGGCGTTTAGTACTTGTTGCTAATGCTTTTGGTGAAGTATGTTCATCACCTGTGTCTTCTCTACGTTCACCTGAAGGAAGTCCCATCTTCGCTGCAGTGCTTCTTTTGTCAACTTGTCAGTTTTCGCATGTACATCTTCGAGTTTGTGCTACATAAGACATAAATCAGCATCGGCGAAATCAAAATCTTCTAGTATATTTTCGTGGGTCCAACGTATGCCCCTCTTCTCGTTCATAACAGTTTCTTGCATGCTCCAGTCAAGTCGAGTCGACTATAATGAGGAAGATGAACGGTGATAGTAGACGGTAACCTTGTGTTACTCTTATCTTCCCTTTAACGGCCTCACTATGTTCTCCGTTATGGATCACATGGCATGTAGCATCATCATCATCATCATCATCATATAGTTGCTGTTGAATGAGGTTGATTAAAGTTTATGGCACTGAAACCGTAGTGTTGAAACAGCTGGCAAAATACTTCTCGATCGATGCTTCGATCGAAAGGCTTTTCAAAATCGTTGAAGTTGAGGTAAAGAGTTGACTGCTATTCTATGCTCTGTTGTATGATAATACGCAGTGTAGCGTTACAATTTGATCCGCAAGGCAGCCTGTTCCAGTTCTAATTTTCAATCCAGAGCATTTCCCTTCAATATATTACTTCTAACTAATAAATGAGAAAAATCCAGTTTGTTTGAGTACTTCTCATCATATAACGTGTTTTTTTAAGGCAAAAAAAGGTACTGATTAGTTGGGAACTCAGGCTAATTAATTTATGTAGGGTTGATCAAGTGTGATGGGCAATAGTAATACATCTAGACACCCTCCTTACGATCTCATAACTCAGTGAATAGTTATCATTGACATATATTCACTTCAAGTATTCTAATTGTGTTCATCTACATCGTCAGTATCGTTATATTACATGAGAGAGAAATTTATTTCACTCGTGATATCCAATTACTATCATAAACAATTTACAATTACTATTGATCATAATTAAATCAAAGTAAAACATGAGACAATGAAACAGAAAATAGACCAGTCAGTTAACAAAGTATAACTCTCTCTCTCTCTCTCTTCTCTCGATTTATATCAAAAGATAATAAAATAAATAATCTATATTTGTGTAAAACAGTTATAAACCATTTAAGGGAGAGGAGGAGAATGGAGAAAACATTAAATCTATAAAATAAGTACTCAAATGACATAATTCACGCATATCAGTCAACAAGCAGATATATATATATATATATATATATATATATATATATATATATATATACGTAATAGATACATCGAAATTAATTAATCATAGGAACATTCATCCACATAAAGAAAACTACCCCACCCAACACCCTGCTTGAAATATACACAGTTCCACAATATAGCCATCAGTATTGTAAACAGGGGGGGGGGGTGATAATCATCAAGGGATTGGAGATTTTTTTTCTGTTTTCAATGTTTCCCAGTAGTTGAATTACTACTATTCGATGCTGATAAACGGTGTTGTTTTAAACAATTCGGTGTACAAAAATTAAAATCCATATATGTAAAGGGAACTTTACCGGTTATATCGCAACCACACTGAAAGCAACGACTGAAAAAGATAAGAACGAACGAAAAGGAGAGAGAAAATGAAATCGATAATAAATCAGTAGTAATCAAAGAATTTTAATATTTATAAGACACCACTAGGGGAAACCAATACTCTGTAATAAAGTAGTGAAATTCAGTAATAAGGCAAATCCTCCCTCTCTTAGGGTTAATGATATAGCCTGTATGTAACCTGTGTGTAACCAACTATTTATCATTATTTTTCCCTTGGGTTCCTAATGGAACATAAGGCTTCACTAGCACGTCTCCATTACACTCAATTCTCTGAAATCTTTTCAACCTGGCTCCACGACAGCTCACAACCTCTCATTTCTTCCTCACACGATCTCCTCCATGTCAACCTCACCTTAGACGCCCAACTCACCGATTCCCATCTCACTTCCACTCCACCAACTGGCCTGGAGCATGATGTACACAGTCGACCTTTTCAGTGTATGCTAATTCAATCCATCTCCACTTCCTTCCACTGCATATTTCTTCAACGATAGCTTCTTCCTTCGTTAATTCGTTCCCAGAGTTCCTCCTTGCTTATTCTTTCTGGCCATCTGATCTTCAGTAACGAGCCAACGTAGGAGGCAGTTGTTGATGAATGTCTATAGTTTGTTGGAAATACTGAAGTTTCTGAACCATATAGCAGCACTGACTTGACTGGTTTTAGTGTTAGAAATCCGGATGTTGTTCTTTATGATGAGTGCAGTAGATCTACACAGAGATTTCAGATTGATGAAAGCCTGTCTTGCTGTCTTTCCCATCCTGGTTTTGACATCCTCGTCTGTGCCTGTGCCGCCTGTAGTTGAAACAGTGCTGCCAAAATAGGTGAAGGAGGCTACTTCCTTTCAGTTTCTCCCATTGATGGTGATCGGAGCTTTCTGTGGTTGGTGGTGGTGCTGTTGTTGGTTGGGTATCTTCATCACCTCTGTCTTCTCAACGTTCACTTGAAGTCCCGTCTTCGCTGCCTCTTCAGCCAACTTGTTAGTTTTCGCACGTAGATCTTCGAGTTTGTGTGACATCAAACACAAGTCATCGGCGAAATCCAAATCATATCATCTATTTGAGCAATAAATATTCTACAGTATTTCAAAAGTATACCAGTATACATAAAACTGTTAATAATGTATAAATTTACCTGAACACTATTAGTGGTTCACCAGCTGCAGCTCTAGCAGAATTCAAACGACGTTCAGCTGCCAAAGCACGCTAATTCGTATATTCATAGACGAAGTGGAAATAAGGTAAAGAAGTATACAAAGAAGTTTCATCATCACAAAATTCTATGGAATATGTTGACAGCTGGACAATAAGGGTAGAGGATTATTGCTTCACTTACCTGGAAAGTTGGATCAGCTCTAATGGATCACTGATCAACGACAACCCGGCAACGATACGGAAGACTTGATTATTACTATATTATTATTTGCCTCTTTGGTTCCTAGTGGAACATAGGGCTTCAGTAGAACGTCATCATTTCAATCCCTTCTCTACAGCCTTTATAACCTGGCTCCGCGACTCCCCATAACCTTTCATTTCTTCCTCACACCACCTCCTCCATGTCATCCTCGGATCCCCTATTGGTTTCCACTTAATGGCCTGGCCTAATGAGCATCATCAACTATATTATTTTACTTCAAACTTATTTCATAGCACTATTGTATAGTTCGGCTGGCTTCAGGAAGAACAAATCATATGCCGATCAAATTGCAACGCTACGCTACGTGTTATCATTGAACACAGTATACAATGACAGTCAACTCTCTACCTCAACTTCATCCACTTTGAAAACGCCTTCGATTGAGGCATCAACCGACAAGTAATCTGGCAACTGCTCTAACAACATTACGCTTTTAGTGCTACAAACCTTTATCCACCTCATTCAACAGTTAGCTATACGATGATGGTGATGCTATATGTTACATACCAAGTGATTCATAATGGAAAGCTCAGTGATGTCTTCCAAGTAAAGACAGGTTGACAGGTAACACAAGGTTCCCGCCTACTATCACCCATCATCTTCCTCATTGTGGTCGACTCAACTAGACTGGATCATGCAAGAAACTGTAAGGAGTGAGAAGATAGGTATACGCTGTTCGAACTATGAAAAGACCCTAGACGATTTCCATTTCAGCAATGATGATTTATGTCGGATGTCTTATGTCGCACAAAATCGAAGATCTAGAGGAAAAAGAGGCAGCGAAGGGGCTGTGAAGAAGCGACTGTCTTCGAGTGAACGTAGAGAAAACAATGGTGATGAAGATACCACCCAACCAACAACAACAACGAGCCCCAATCACCATGAACGAAAGAAATGTAAAAGAAGTTGTCACTTTCACCTACCTACCTAGACAGCATCGTTTCGACTACAGGCGGTGGTGGCATCACACATGACGATGTCAAAGCTTGCATCGGAAAGACAGCAAGACACGCTTTCCTTCATTAACCTGTGGAGATCAGTACGAAGATATACTCCATTGCACTGCACTACACTGCAGTTCACTCAGCATAAAGTGTGAACAAGATTCGGATTTTCAACACTAAGTCAGTCAAATCAGTGCTTCTATGTGATGGTTGAGAGACTTGGAGCATTACGAAAAGCACTTCGTTCCGACAAACTGCACACATACATCATGAACAGCCGACGCCTACTCTCACTCCATACTGGAGAACAGATCAAATGAGATGAGATGAGAAGGCAAGAAAGAATAAGCAAGGAGGAAGTGTGGCCTGGCAGCGAACTAATCAACGAAGCAAGAAGCTATCGCCTAACAAATATGCAAATAAGAGAGTGGAGGTGGATTGGATGGGATTGGATATAGACTGAGAAGACCATCTGGGGACATCATGCATTAGGCCAGGCCGTTGAGAGTGGAAGTCAAATGGGAAAGGACAAGTTGTACATTCGAGTGTAACATGGAGGAGGTGGTGTGAGGAAGAAATGAAAGCTTCTGGGGAGCTATGGAATCAGACATTGGAATGATGATGTGCTACTGAAGCTCTATGTTCCACTAGGGATTCACTTCCTGGCTAATTTCCGTATAACCCATAGTTCCAAAATGATTACATATAGTAAGATGAAATTAATTTTTCTATAGTAATCAGTTTTTTATGCATAAAATGCATTTTTTTTTCCTCCAGTTTTTTACTCTGCTGTGTAATGAAGACATTGAAATTTAGTTGTATCTATGATTCAATCAGAGTATAACATATAAACAAGGATAGTGAGTAATAACCTTGTCTTCTTTTAAACAAAGGTCGAGAAGGATAACAGTCCATGTATGAATTCAGACTACAACAAGTCGTCAGAAGTGTACAAGGTTAATCTAGTGCTCAGTCAATATCACAAGGGAATTGAAGAATTATATCATAAGGAAATATAGCACAAGTCATAACTATCTTTCTTAGGTTGAAATAAATTGAAATACAAAAATATATCACTTAAATAACATCAGAAAGATTTAATTACCTTATCTTGATCCCAATGTCAATTTCTAGGGTCTAACTTAAAAGTTGATCTGTTAGTACAACTAAATCTTAACTTTCAATGCCCAACTACACTTCTCACTACTTAACTTCACAATGTATCCTTTTATTGATATTCAACATTTTTTATTGTTATGGAGTGAATCAATATTCCCTTTGAAACTTATTACAATCAATTACGGTATGCCAACTATTCACTAGGAACCATATGATCATATACGTGAGATTCTATTATTATTAGTCCCTTGGGTTCCTAGTGGAACATAGGGCTTCAGTAGCACGTCTCCAGTGACCTCTGTTCTCTGAGATCTTTTGAACCTGGTTCCACGACAGCCCAGAAGCTCTCATTTCCTCCTCGCACGACCTTCTCCATGTCACCCTCGGACGTCCAACTTGTCACTTCCCATCTGGGTTCCACTCGAGGGCCTGGCCTGACGCGTGATGTCCTCAGTTGGCCTTCTCAGTGCATGTCCAATCCATCTCCACTTCTTCCTGCATATTTGTTGCGTGATAGGTTCTTGGTTGGTTCGTTCCCAGAGTTCCTTGTTGCTTATTCTTCCTGGCCATCTGATCTTCAGTAGCGAGCCAGCGTAAGCAGTTGTTGATGAATGTCTGTAGTTTATTGGAAATCCCTTTCGTAACGCGCCAAGTCTTTGAGCCATACAAGAGCACTGACTTGACTGATGTTGGTGTTGAAAATCCGTATCATGTTCCGCATGCTGAGTGCAGAAGATCTCCACACTGGTTTCAGGCTAATGAACACCTGTCTTGCTTTTCCGATTCTGACTTTGACGTCCTCGTCCGTCCCGCCTGTAGTTGAAACAGTGCTTCCTAGATAAGTGAAGGAGGTTACTTCCTTTAAGTTTCTCCCGTTGACGGTGATTGGAGTTTGTTGTTGTTGGTGGTGGTGCGGTATCTTCATCACCTCTGTCTTCTCTATATTCACCTGAAGTCCCGTCTTCGCTGCCTCGCCTCTTATGTCAACTTGTTAGTTTTTGCCTGCAGATCTTCGAGTTTATGTGACATCAGGCACAAGTCATCGGCGAAATCCAAGTCTTCTAGGTTCTTTTCCTCAGTCCAGCCAGCGTATCCCCCTCTTCTCACTCCCCACTGTTGTCTGCTGCATGATCCAGTCCACCACAATCAGGAATATCATGGGGGATAGTAGGCAACCTTGTTTCACTCCTGTCTTCACTTCAAAAGCATCACTGAGCTTCCCATTGTGAATTACTTGGCATGTGGCATCTTCATATAGTTGTTGAATGAGGCGGATAAAGGTTTGCGGTACTCCGTAGTATTGAAGCAGTTTCCAAATTACTTCTCGGTCGACGCTGTCAAAGGCCTTCTCAAAGTCGATAAAGTTGAGGTAGAGAGCTGATTGCCATTCTATGCTCTGTTCTATGATGATGCGAAGCGTTGCAATTTGGTCTGCACATGATTTGTACTTCCTGAAGCCTGCCTGTTCCGGTCGCAGTTTTGAATCCAGTGCATCTTTAAGCCTCTCCAGGATGATGCGGCTTAATATTTTACTTGGGGTGGACAGGAGAGTGATTCCGCGCCAGTTCTTGCAAGCACTGAGGTCTCCTTTCTTCGGCAGTTTGACAAGGTAACCCTTCTTCCAATCGAATCGCGAATCGCTCAGTTTTAATTAGCCACTTCAAGGGTGATATACAGATATGCTTCTAATCAACAGTCATTGAGTCACGTGTTATGAATCTCAACCATTCGACAATTTTTCTTTTGGAATTATGATCATATATTGTTTATGCCAGTTATCATATGATATACAAATTAGCGTTGGTAGTCAGTACTTCACACTCGACAGCTCTACAAGAGGATTTAGAATTGTTCAGTAATAGTATTCTATATATGACGTAGTAGAACAATAAGTCTGTAACTCGAAGTTTACTTGCAAAATCATGTCAAGACTTCGTTATCAATCAACCTGTATCTCTTCATTTATGGATACTACTCCTACCGGCTAAACTATATAATCATACACGCCAAATTATTTAAAGTTCTATGATCGCATATCGTTAATTGCAGAACCAAATACTATGGATAGGTGTAACTTACAAATTACACTCCATCACAATGACCAATTCTGATCAACACACATAGGAACAGTGAATATATCTACTTTCTGAAATTCGAAATGATTGTAAATATACGCTTCACCATAAATATCAACATAATACCAGGCATTACTGCATAACGGATCGAGTTGAGATTCGGTATAGCGTCGTTAAGATGAGGATAATGTGTATGGGGGGATACATTCGTGTCACTGATATCAGTTCTCAGCCATATGATCACCTAGAGTCTCCAACTATTAATTCCTTTTGTCCAGCGATTATCTCTTTTATTCTCATACACTAGATATTAGGATCGTTAGACTGTATTATCATATTGATATTGATCGACTGACTTTCTCTATAACGTACTTATAAAATTACACTTGTAATGAAGCTTATATTCCTTTGCAAGTGTTATTCATAAACACCCTATGGAGAAAGTCAGTCGATCAATATCGATATGATAATACAGTCCAACGATCCAATTTGCGATACCTGATATCTAGTACATGAGATAATCGCATCAAATTAATCTAGATGGGTGATTATTTCAGGTTATAAGATAGGGGAGGAATCTTCCAGTCCACTCCATCATAGTGTCTCAGATACTAGGATGCCCATAGCTACTCAACACTTAAGTGGAACTTGACAACAACAAACTCGAAGAAGCAAGATAAGTTTCAAACATGGTTGCGGGTTCATCTATCAAATCTTCACTCCTTGACATGCTTCAAGACACAGGTATGCTCACTGATACCCAATATTTGCCATATTTCTTAACCCGAAGGAGGTACTCAACTCTATCAACTGAAAAGTGTATTGTGGTAATGTTTAACTGTCCTGGCGGTTACTTCAGATGTAAACCCCAGTATATGTAAATGAGTACAAGCAGAAAAACCCTTCCTCCTATAGAAATTGTGACGAAATCGGTAAAGGTATGGGATTCCGAAGAAATAGCAATCATTTTCATCACCAACTTTCCACCTGCACTGATGATGGGATACCTAGAATGTCATTCGAAAAGACGTTCCAAAGGAATATTCAACTTGCAGAACACTCCTATCTGAACAAGGGTGAATTAATTGTCCTAGTAAGGTGTGTGTTAAAACATAGACAGAAAAATTAAAGTAAGACCATGCACATAAGTGCATCCCTTCAAATTACCACACACTTCTCAGAAGCAAGCAAAGAGAAAGTGAATAAAACACGAAACTCACAACAAAGTAGAGCAAAGTGTATATCAGAATTTAAAAAAATCGATGATGAAGGTTAGTGCAAACATTCAAGCTTCAGAAGATATCAAAAAGTGAAAACACCTGCTCCATTGTGACCAATTTTCAGTCACTTAACCAAACGTACTCAAATCACAGATTCCTATCGTGTCGAGGACCCCAGTCAAGTAGTGCACACCTCCCCAGACAGTTAAGAACAATAACCAGAGACTTTATGATGCATTACTGCCATATCTTGGCTTGGCTACTCTGAGCCCTTATATTCTTTTTTAAACAGCAGACATGTAAAATTTATGAACGTGAAAAGAAACTTTTTATGAATAAGAAATACTGTAGTGAGCGTTGCTGATAAGAATGGATATAAGTAGTATATATTGAGAGGATGGCAAGAACCACATAGAATTACCAGCAATGGGTAAGGATTCCGCCAACAGAAACGCAAGAGACAAGACAAACCTATGAAGACCAAATCAAGAAAGAAGGAGAAGTGGAAATGAAGCATATTTTGCAAATGACGGTTTTAGTGCAAGGTGTACTATATATTTAACCACTACTGTCCCTCTTGATGACTACAAACATCCCTTCCTGCATATCTCTCTTTTGCTTCTTTCAATAACACAGAGGTTAATTATGATTTAATACTGAATCTCATGTATGTTGTCACTCGATATACACTTTAAACATTGCAAAAATTAACAAAATAGTGGAAAATTCTCTAGTAAAATCTCAGCATATTACTGCTAAACACAAGTAGAATACGATCTTATCTTTGAAAATATATGACACAAGGTTAAGATTCTATTTATCAACCAGGTAGTCGTGACAAGAGAAAACTTCTTTAGCTAATCTATGATATGTTACGCGTGAAAATCGAAAAGATTAACTATGAACAGATACTGGGTGATGGATTGAAGGTGAAATGAAAATTTGCACCCCAGTCGGATTCGAACCACCGACCACCGGGTTTCCAGCATGATGCCCTCTACCAATACTCATTTACGAAGTCTGACTACTGTTAATCAGAATTTTATTTCACTTCAATTATCAAGGGTTTTCCCCGACGACTACCTTGTAAATTCGTGACAGGTTACTACTACCATTCGATCGTATTCACACTGGCTACCTGCACAGCAGTCAGGCCTTCTCATCTCAATGCAAATCTTACTGAATTAGAAGTGGGGGGGGGGAGCATCATACTGGTTATCATTTGACTATCTAAGCTAGCCGTAGTTTAGCAGACTATCACCCATCACTAATATAGGTGGAAAAAAAACTCCAGCACTGTGTTGGAATTAGATTAGATTTATTTATATGACAGACACCAGATACAGTGATACAGCATCACCTATTCACTACTTCATGACATCTCGAGCATAACTCCTCACTCCTCATAATCATGTCAATGCGGAATCACACTACATTCAACATCTGATTCTGATAGTCATCTCACCCACCCCATATTCTTCGCTTTTACTGTTACTTAAACATTACATATCTCTGGTATAGATGGGTGTTGCGTTATCATTCCTATTCCACATGTGTTGGATGGGTGTTGATTCGATTAACAGACATTCAGTAATCTCTCTCTCTCTCTCTCTCTCCACATAATTATATTGCATTGAAGTAGAGTGGTTTTACCCCACCCTATGTGTGGTTGTGGGTTAATGTGCATGCATTGCAATAGCCGAGTTACTTTCTAGATTATTGATCTTGTGGAGAATATTTGTAGCTCAGGTGGATGGTCTTGGTTGCATTGTGTCCTCTGAGCTGGCTTGTTTAATCATGAAGCTTTCATCGTCTTGCTAGACAGCGACATTATCATCAGCACTAACTTCATTATGAATTGAGCTGTCAATATCTTTCTGAGAGTGACTTAGTAGCTCGCCCTGACCAACTGATCTATGATTAGTTGTTCCCTTTGGTTGTGTTCGTCAGTGGTTTTATCCCACCTACCCTATTATGCGGTTGTGTGTTGATGCATGCAATACAATAGCCAAGTGTTTTCCTACATAGTATGATCTTATTCGGGTCTACCATTCTATATTTAGCTAAGTTCCTGTTTTCCGCTATTCTAACTGACCCTAACCGGTGATTAGTTTGACCTAAGTACTTGATTTGACTCACAGTCATTACATCCAGTTTGATAGATTAGATAATTTTGCTCAATTGGTTCTATCGGGTTTTTAAGCCAGCTGACAAAGCTTATCTCAGAGTGAATTTGTAGGTTTAAATGCCACCATAACTAATTCCAGCTTTATTGATTATCCAACGTACCTTCCTTATAGGGTAACACAATGGTATCTGTGAACTCCTTTCTACTTATGTTGTCGTTATTATTCATACTCGTGTTACCGTTATTTGTTTCGTATCTTTTGCGTTCTTACTGATTTCTTAATAAACTATGAAGGATAATTATTAACTATTAGCAGAGAAGGTGTGTGCAATCGCTTAGGAATGTACTTCTGTGATCATGTTCGAACTTTCACTACAAACAATCACTCTAGTCCACATACCTATTGAATGGTTACTATCACTATAAATATGTGTTATTAACACGGTTGCTTGAGATTCCAAATTAGATTTGTTTATTTAATATACATCAGACATAGTGATATTTCAACACCAACGTCAAGTCAGTGCTTCTGTATGACTCAGAGACTTGGCGCGTCACGAAAGGGATAAACTACAGACATTCATCAACAACTGCTTACGCTGGCTCGCTACTGAAGATCAGATGGCCAGGAAGAATAAGCAACAAGGAACTCTGGGAACGAACCAACCAAGAACCTATCACCCAACAAATATGCAGGAGGAAGTGGAGATGGATTGGACATGCACTGAGAAGGCCAACTGAGGACATCACGCGTCAGGCCAGGCACTCAAGTGGAATCCCCATGGGAAGCGACGAGTTGGACGTCCGAGGGTGACATGGAGGAGATCGTGCGAGCAGGAAATGAGAGCTTCTGGGCTGTCGTGGAACCAGGTTCAAAAGATCTCAGAGAACAGAGGTCACTGGAGGCGTGCTACTGAAGCCCTATGTTCCACTAGGAACCCAAGGGACTAATAAAAAATAATAATAATAAAGACATAGTGATATAGTATCACTTATTTACTACTTGATGACATCTCATAATCATATCATGATATGATTATGAGGAATAATGAGTTATGCTCGAAACGTTATCCACTAAATAATACTAAATCACTGTGTGTTATAAATCCGGCATCACCTGTCACCCAGTATCGAAACCCGTTTGCAAAACTACGGTTATCTCAAATAGTCAAATGATAACCATGAATTAATGATGGATCGTGGCTAGCAGTGGAATCCAGGATGCGCATTTCGTCCTATTCGGGACTCACTAGTCAGCTGGATGTGCCTGCTACCCAGTGAGTGATGTTGTTCCCACCGGGATTCGGACTTTAAGGCGATCGCTCCAAACGCCAGGGAGTTATCCACTAGACCACCAAGCCACGATGGCCACTTCTTGTCCGACGGGTATAGCTCTTAGTATAAGGGTTTTCATATGATACCGTCGTTGATTGGACCGAATTGATCGATCTCTATTAGCATATGGGCTCCTGTGTGGATGCCTCGATATTGCCAGCAATCAAATTATGTGAATGATGGACCGATCAATTCGGCCCAATCAACAACAGTATCATATAAAAACCCTTATACTAATAACCATGAATTGTTGTCATTCTCAGGATTTCAACTACTAAAATCAATATGATAAAAGAACTACCATTCGCAGATTTGAAGATTAAATGTTTCAATGACCTCGTAGGTTAGCTGATAAAGCATCGGGTAGGAAACCTAATAGCCGCTGGTTGAAATTTGGCCGTGGTCTAATCTTTCATATCAACTTCAATCACCATCCAGTATAGACACAAATATTAATAAATATCATCTGCCTATAATATTTACCTTTTCTCGATCTGATAAAGCCAAGAAACGAGCTTGTTCAGCTGCTTCCTTTTCTTTTTCTTCAGCAAGTGCACGTTCAGCAGCACGTTTCTCTTTTTGTCGTTGTTTCTGTTGTTTAGCGCGTTCACGTTCTCTTTTCACTTTTTCAGCTTCCTTCGATGGATCTATTGGAGTAGGTATCTAAAATATCCCAAAGGAAATATAAAAGCGGATAAAAATCATTTAAATAAGAATAAAAACTTATACAATTTTGGAGAGAAATAATGAAAGAGAACTTTGAAGAGGGCGGGGGTGGGGGTGGCCGTGGAATATAAAAAACAGGAAAATCTAGAACAAAGCTCAACAAGCTAAAACCATCAGAATGAAACTTTAGGCAATCTCAAGTCATTCGTTCCAGTAGGCTATATATCAACAGACATGAAAATCTATTCGATCGAGTTTATTAATCAACGAAAAATTACAATCACCAATAAGTGACAAATGATAGACGTTGTACAAGAGGTGGCTGTTGTAACTCAAGTAACCTAGTGAATAAAGTTTTGGAGCTTGAAGTGATGAATATTGTGGGTCAAGTGTCACTGGGAATACCACCAATCTACGGGGCTACAGGTACATCCATTCGGTTGACGAATCCCGAAAAGGACGAAACGAGCGTCGTGGGTTGCGGCACTAGGTACTAAGTAAACTACAACCGAATGAATACTCAAGTAGTAGATAGGTATTCATACAGGAGCCCATCTTCCCAAAGAGATCAAGCAATTTCATCTAGTATAATATGAAGAAATTAAAAGTATCAATCAGAAACAAGTGATATCCAGTTGTACAATAAGTGACCTCAGTCTCCCAATGGATGATGTTTTAGTGTTTCAAGCGATGAATACTGAGTGTGGAATATCAATGAGAACACCACCACTCACTGAGATGTAAATAAATCCACTCAGTTGACGAATCCTGAATATGATGAAACTCAAGTTTAACATTCTACTACTAATCACTACTAAACAAATCTCAAAAATGGCAAGATTTATTTGAAAAAGTTGAAGCAACATCAAAGTATGTATTACAATAACTGATTACTTCCTAATATTCGTATATAAACATAAAACACATTGGACTATTCACTACATTATCAAGTCCTGGAAAGTGTACAAACTAAAAAACACTACGTATACATACACTTAAACCTGGGAGCACTGGACAGCTGTTTCGTCCTCGTATAAGACTCTTCAGCAGTGCGCACCCACGACCCCGCACCACTGGGCATGGAACCCGTGACCTTGAGGTTCCGTGGCCAACACGTTACCATTGACCCACTGGGTCAGAATCCAATCGTCCATATTTCCAACTTTGTCAAGTCAATTTATATTAAACTGAGGAGTGGGAGGATATATACAACAATTAACACAATAATAGGGGATTAAAACTGAGGAAGATGAGAACAAATAGAAAGAGTAACAGAGTTGATCCTAATCTTGATAAGAAAACAAACTTTATCAAGTGTAATATAAGAAAGAACAAATTGTCTCTGTAGACATAAGAGTGATTTCAATTTGTGTATGCCTATCGCTTCCACAAATCTTAGTATACATCTCTGGCTGTTTCTATACAAAACTTTGAAAGGTGTTTGAATATTAGTTTTGTGATCTGTTTCTACATGTTTAGAGTTATAGATGAAGAGGGTCATTGCCCCCCCCCCCCAACTACACTTATCAAGATTTCATACTCCATTTATTCTTGATGCTATTTTAGGTACATGTTCTCCTAGCTTCAACTGCATATCTCGATCACTTTTCCCCATACATATCAGCATACTCGAATTTAAACTAGGAAACACATTGGGATATGATGTAATCATCGATGCAGTGTTACAGTTTTTGGTGAAATATGTGGGTTTTTCTTCTACAATATATTTCCATAATGACTGATGTTAGCTTTCGTTTTAAAACCATGCTATTCAACTTCCATGTGTATAGTGGAGTGATATCGACGCTTTTCTTAAAAACCATGTATAGAGTTGGCTTCGGTGCTATTTGACCTCTACAACAGTTTATACATTTCAACAGATATTCATTTTCCATAAGTGTTTTGATCAATAATTAGATATCTTCATACATCGTATCTGGTGTACTGATGCGATAGATCCTACTAAACAGGCATTTTACCAGAAGTGCATTGTATTCTATTGGACAAAAACTGTGAAATCCAGGTATTGTCCAGTCCATGTAGGCTTTCTGTATACTAGACCATCTTATTTAACAATCTTCTCGTCGACTCAGGAGTATGTCTAAGAATGGCAGATGATTATCATTCTCTTTCTCACAAGTCAACCTGATGTGAGTTTGTACGGTGTTAAGTCTATTTAGTACACAAGCCATATCCCCATGCCTCTCACAAATCACTATGATGTTATCAACATATCACTTGTAAAGAGAAACTTTAGCGATGAGATCACCAACCAGATTTCCGATATATGACAATATCAGCTAGTAATGGTCAAGGGGGACTACCATTAGCTACACCATCAACTTGTTGAAAGTGTTCGCCTTCAAATGTTGCTACACAATAATGATAGTTCCCTCATAAAAGTTGGAGTAATAGGGAACGGGAGGTTTCCAGAAGATATACAGTCAAAGAGAATGTTAATAGCCTTCTAATTACGCCACGGAAATTCATGAAAGGGATTATATGCTTGGAATGTTTAAACTGTTACGTTGACGATTTTGTCAATTAGGGTATGCTAACTAACCACAGTATTGTTTATATTCCTTCTGTGAACATATTCAATACAGTGAAGTTGCACTGCATCAGATATGCATATCTGAAAGACTGTTGACCTATACTCATCAGTAATTGATAGTTAAGTTATCTACCTCACTGCTTTATAAACCATGAGAAAGATATAGATGAAAGATGTTATTATCTAACTAACAAATGGACTATACCGTGTGTAACTTAATCCATCATGCTCAAATAAGGCTGAGTAGTTGGTGCGTTTTCACCTATCTAATGAACGCCATTTATCAAATGCAGAGATATCAGCGGACATGCTCATACCACACCACAATTGAACAAGGTTTCAAAAGAAGAAACGGAAGGCACATTCCGGTTGACTGGAAGAAGGGCTACCTTGTCAAACTCCCAAACAACATACACCCAAATCTTTGCAACAACTGGCACACAATCATGTTCCACTCCTCCCCATACCAAGCAAAATATTAGGACGCGACATCCTGAAAACACTAAAACATCACTCCATTCAAAATTATGACCGGAACAAGCTGGCTGGATTCAAAAAAATCGTGTGAGGATCAAATTGCAATGGTACACGACGCATCATCATAAAACAGGGCATGGAATGCCAGTCAACTCTTCACCTCAACTTCATCAACTTTGAAAACGCCTTCGAGGCGTCGACCGAGAAGTTACTTGCCAGCTGCTTCAACACTACGATTTCACTGTTACAAACATCCATCAACCTCATTCAACAACAGCCATATGATTATCATGATGATAGTTCTACGTGCCAAGTCATTCATAATGGAAAGCTCAGTGATGTCGTCCAAGTGAAGACAGGTTGACAGATAACACAAGGTTCCCGCCTACTATCACCCATCATCTTCTTCATTGTGGTCGACAAGACTCGACTCAACTGGATCATGCAACAAACTGTAAGGAGCGAGAAGATGGGCATACGCTGTTTCACCGATGAAAAGACCCTACACGGTTTACATCTCACCAGTGATGATTTATGTCTAATGTCGCAAAACGAGAAGATCTACAGGCGAAAACTAACAAATTGGCAAAACAGGCAGGGCAGCGAAGATAGGACTTCATTCAAGTGAATGTAGAGAAGACATAGGTGATGAAGATACCACCCATCCAACAAGAATAACAATATTAATAACAAGCATCAATCAGCATCAACGGGAAAATGCAAAGGAAGTTGTCACTTTCACCTACCTACATACCTAGATATAGCATCGTTTCAACTACAGGCGGCGGTGGTGGCACAGATGACGATGTCAAAGCCAGTAACAGAAAGACAGCAAGACACGCCTTCTTTCATTAATCTGTGCAGATCCACTCCATTGTACTGCACTTCATATAAGTAATAATGCAATACTATTTGAATTCATGTCTAGTTCAAACAAAACTCACCTGAGCTTTTTCGTAATCATAACGCTCTGGATGGTAAAAACGAAAACGTCGAAATACGTTGGCCATAACCTTTTTGTGCAATCGTATAGCCAACTGATAAGGTGTTACACTATCACCATCACTAAAATACAAAGTGAAAAATCATACTATTAAAATCGTTTTCAATTACATCAGTTGTATTAGAGAATACTACTTCACTGCACTGGAAGAAGAAGAAAAGCTCCATCAAAATACAGCTTCACATAAATTTAAGCAACATTGTAATAACTTCAATGGTAAGATCTTTGACTGCACCATTAGGTGATGCAGGTTCAAGTCTCTCAAGGGACATCAGGATGGAACCTAAGTTAAGCAAAGCTTCCTAGTGATTGTCTGAAGCCAAATTACACAAATATAAACTGCCTCTTTCTATGAAGGCGTGTAGAGGAAGTGTTGATAGACTTCGTTACTTGTATTTTCTTTTTTCCATCGAAAATATTCTTGAAAGGCCCCTGTAGTACACGATCAAAACTATCTTACTACCCAGGGAAAAAATGGCCTACACAACATGTAAAGAGTAATTTAGCTAAGTATAAACAGAATCTCGATACTATGCACAGCTATACTACGCCTATGATAAGGACCAGTATCTTCAGTCATACCCAATGGTAAGAGATAGAGAGAAGGAGAAAAAATAATATATCCAGGTGATAATGTAGAGGATTATACCACCCTTTGTATAACAAACATGAAAGTCGTATACATCTACCTGAATCACCCATCACACCTATTCATAAAAGAATAAGCGGAAAGTACATCAAGTTACCTTTAAATCTCAAGGATAAAACCCTTGTAATCTGATTAAATTCGACATGTATACATACATAATCAGAAACAGATGAAGAAAATTTAGGCGATCAGAAGAAAGATCAATCAATCAATCAATACCAACCTAGGACCAGGCATTACTGCGTAACGGTCCAACTTGCCACACATCATATCAGTACATCAAGTAGAAAGGTAGTGAGGTGAAGGATGAAGATAAGTGAATGCAGTCAAAAGAGACATAAAGTACGAGAAGAAAGAAAAGAGGAATGACAAAATGGTGAGATTCGGTATAGTGTCGTTAAGATGAGGATAATGTGTGTGTGGGATACATCTGCGCCACTGACATCAGTTCTCAGCCATATCTGCTAGAGTCTCCAACCACTGGTTCATCTTGTCCCGCCAACCCCAAACACCAAGTCTGCATCGACCTACATGGCTTAAACCAACAGTCAGAGACTTCATACATTGGTGCCATGTTTTAGTCTGGCCACCTCGGGCCCTTTTCCAGCCTCAACCTACTTCGGCCAACATTGTGTGATGGGGCAGTCGGTGACTAGGAATACGTAGTACGTGTCTCAACCACCTCAATCGATGAAGGTTCATAACCTCGTCAACTGATTTACCTCTTCTCCCCCACTAAAACTCTACATCTAACTTCTGCATCACTCACGTGGTGACACCACGGAATACATCCTATACTACGAAGGCAACGGTGGTCAAACACTTGAAGAAAGTGGTTATCGGAAGACAATTGGGTACTACCAGAGATATGAGAGTCATCTATGGTTTTCTGTTACCAACATAATAGAAATTTACACTTTTCTAAAATTTCTCGAAAAGAAACTGGATTAGTACACACAGTTTTATCAATCCATTAACATGACCATAGAACTTGAAGGATATTTGATCGGAACCGATTACGAATTGTCTTCCTGAATATATTTGATTTAGATCTAACTGAGCTGAATCTATTCCACTGTAAGTGTAGCTTCGTGGGGAACAGGGTTAGCGTTTTCGAACCACTTTACTTGACCAATAAAAGACATCATCAGTTGAATTTATCAGTTGCCCTTGATAAACACTTGATTGTTGGTACACACTTTTGATGTTACAGCTTGTAAATCTCCATCACTCATTGGACGGAATCGATCCATCATCACTGGTATATGGGTTCCTGTGCAGATGACTTAATATTGCCGGTATTTTTGGTTTTCATGTTCATGATAGACAGAGGTTAATAATGGAATCTAGGATAGGCGTTTTATCCTACTTGGAACTCGTCAGGTGGGTGTACTTGCTTCCTGGTGACTGATGTTGTTCCCAATAAACTCCAACCCAAGACCAGTTGCTTCAAACGCCAGAGTATAGTACAGTTTCGACGTTATAGCTTGTAACTTCCCGCTGTTGATCGAACCAAAATGATCAACCACTATTGGTATATGCGCTCTTGTCCCGATGTCTTGATATTGCCCGTAACACAAGAACTGGCTACCGTGACTCAGTAGCCTATGGTGTTTGAAGCGACTGATCATGGGTTGAGGTCTTAGCGAGAACAAAATCACTCACTCGGTGTAAGGTAAATCCAGTTGGTGAGTCCAAAATAGGACGAAACGAGCGTACTGGATTCCACTGCTATCCACTACCTACCTGCTTTTTATTTTTATCACCATTCAACCAACCCTTATTGATACGATAAGATCGCAAGGGACAAACACATTAGTCAATAAAGCTGGAACACAACACAATAACAGATCAGGTTTAACCATACTGGCAAAGCAGAAGCTGTAATTCAACTACTACATGCACGTGTGTATAATCAACTATAAGTTATGTTTATGTCAAAGATATTATCTAGTTGTCCCAGCCTCTAATGGATACAATAATGCACAAATTCGTTATCCATTGTTTAGAAGTAGAGTGTTCAATTCAACGAATTATAGATGAAAATTACAGAAGATGCCAAACAACATGTTTGAGCACATATCAAAACAACGTAATATCTACACAGAAAAGATAAAGACAGACAGAAGGGATGGAATTAATATAGAAATCTTGCATACAAGTGCATCAGCTCAAATCGCTACACTTCATAATTAGAGTACCTGTAAAGGCCAACCCAGCAACAATTGAAATAACCAATTAGACTTCTCTATTTCATGAAAATCTGTCACTCCAGTCAAAATGGAGAAACCTAATTGGTTTTTTCCATCGTTCCTGGGTCGCCTTTAAAGTCATCATCAAAGTAGTATAAAAAAAAAGGAGTGATATCAAAATATTTGGAGAGAGTAAACAATCTGAAGCCAACGGTTAGTACAAATATCTAAGCTTTAAAAAATGTCAAGAATACAAAAGGTAAGAAGTGATCACAACATAAAATGAAGCATTTAAAAGGAAGCACTGCATATAAGTTAATAAAGAGAACACACTGACAAAGAAATAACAGTTTATGCTACAATATTAAATAAACGTTAAGATAGTAAGAAGGAAAACAAACCAGTAAACAGTAGTTCTAATGTTTCTGTCCATAGGTCTTCTCTTTCATACGCTTGAAAGTCAAGTCTGACCTAGTTTACATTTACTGGATAGTCAGTATAATAACCTTACTCCTTAATAAAGCTGAATTGATAATGATATCCAATAGTATAATAAAGTGATTGTTAATGACAACTTCCGCTCAAAACAGCACCTTCATCAAAATAACCAACCTTATAAGCTCTATACATTCCATAGAATATCATCATATAATTGATGACCAACACTTTTTAAAAGGGATATTCAATCAAAGTTTAGCTAACTGTCAATCTACTCGATAAACTATCAAATTGTGTGTAGTACAAGGGATTTGAACGACTTAATTCTTGAAGTTGTTGAAAATCACGCCGGTAGCGACTAACCTTAGGACAGTCAAGATGTTTCTTTTTGTTAGACTAGATTGCTGATATGAGAAGAGAAAGCCATTGATTGACTTATATGAAATGATATCATTCATAAAAAATCCACTAGTCAGTAAGTACTGCGATCGTATTCTTTAAAGAATCAAATTTAATTTTAAAACAATTCAGGTAGCTCGATTCTAGCATTGTAACCCCTTAGATATACAACGAAGATTTGACTGACTGACTGACTGACTGACTGACTGACTGACTGACTGACTGACTGACTGACTGACTGACTGACTGACTGACTGACTGACTGGAAAGATGTAGGACTTGGCAATGAGTAGTGAGAACGAGGAGAGAGATGACTTCAGAACTCCGATCTAAATTCTCAACGTATGTCGGCCTATCATGTGAACTGTTTGAATGCAAAACACTCGTGCTAACTGACGCTCGTTTGAAGGATGGCTATCTACTGATCTAGGTCATCTACTACTTACTTTAATTGATTGATCTCTGACGACACCAAACGTCCTATTTACTGACTGTCTGGTTACTTTAATCGACTCACTAACATCCTTAGGCGGTATCCCGAAAACTTTCTGTATACTCTGACACCAACAACTTTACCTGAGGACCCAATTCCAAAATGCGAAGCATTTGATGAAGCTAACTAGTTAACGTCAGTACCCACGCCAATAGGTCTCCATCCGGTCACAACTTCGTACTCAAGAACTACAGTCTTTCCACCGAGCTGCTGAACTCAACGACAAATAGTTCCATCACGGTTTCCAGAAAAGATTTTCCATCTGAATTGTTTACACAGTCATATACCATCATGAACTGACCTTTTGCCAACTTCCTAAACATTACCAACTCTAACTTTAGGTCAATCACTGAGAACTTTTCAACCAATAACTCAATTTACTCCTATTATATTGTTTTTATAGATGAACTGTATCTTTTATTATTACCATTTTCACTTTTGTCTTTATCTTCACTTCACTCAGCTGATGTCCATTCCTTACACTTTTCATCTGCCTGTAACATTTTCAGTTGCTAAACAGTTGCCACCACAAAGCTGTCTTCCAGTGCCCTCTCTCACACAGATATCCTCAAACCAAGCATACCGTTTAAGCTAGCCACCTTCAACGTTCACACCTTCATGCAGATCCGACAACAAACAGGTTTGCCTAGGATTCTGGAAAGCCTCCCCATGGTTGTACGCTGCATCTCAGAGACCCGTATACAAGATCCCAGTAAAGTCCTTCGAATTAAATCCCAACCTGTCAGAGCAAAAGTATGTTTCATGTGCGCTTATCCGGGGACCCAGTGGCATCGACAACGAGCATCACTGGTATCGGTGTCGCACTAAACGATCAAGCCAAAGCACTAGCAACGCCCATTACAAAAGTAGGTTGAAATATAAAATAGGCATATCCTATCTCTTTTTACAATTAAACTGTTATTACTAACCTGACAGCAGGATCACATCCATATTCAAGTAGTACACGAAGTAATTCAGGATCACTTTGAAGTTCAACAGCCACATGTAAAAGTGTTCTACCATCACTTAATGGATGGTTGATTAACTTTAAACAAACATCACGTGGTGGTAAAGTTGAACCTGATGAATTACATTCTAACAACAAAAATGTTTACATACATATATTACTCATCTCTGAAGAGAAAAACAAATAAAATTTAAATATATAACAAGATTCTTCTTTTCAGAAGTTCTGATGAAAAGCCTAAGGCATTTTGAATCAACTAACTAAATTAACAATAAGGTAACTTTTTCAAGTTGGTATTCATCATGGAGTGACATCGGTTAAAGGAAGATTGGAAACCTGAGAGAACTAGAGAGCTGTTTCGTCCTAGTGTGAGACTCTTCAGCAGTGTGCACCCACGACCCCCACCCCGCTAGGGATTGAACCCAAGACCTTCAGGTTCCCTAGCCAGCACGTTACCACTGGAAATATGGATCGCAAGCAGTATACAGAAAGTAACTGTAAAATAGGATAATATACGCTAATATATAGGTATAAATTTCAGCGTATTACGAATAAAATAGCTTTATCGTTTCGCACAGAAACTCAATCCTAAATTTCTCAAATGAATTCCATTTCATTGATTTTTCATGATCTAACGGGATTATTTCGTTTGTTAAACAATTTAGATTAACTTAGTGAGTACGTATTGTTGTAAGCTGACTTCTTAATTTGTTCATCTGTTTCTTATGTTATCTTATCTTCTTTGAACGTCAGACAAATAAAAACTGGTTTCTCTCTTCAGGAGTCAGATAATTGAGCTTTTCAGTATATTCTCTCTCATACCTCAAAATATTCCATTTATTCTAAGAATCTCCTGAAGAACAAATAATTATTCCTTCAGTTTATACTTTGAGGACAATATCCATATTGTATGGAAAAGTTTAGTGACTTATTCCTAATTTATAATTGATCGGTAACAAAGAAATGTAGTTGAGATGCTGATTTGCTTATGTACCTTTCATTCCTGATCCTTAATAAATTCACATTCAAGAATTCCGTTTTCTTGGTTGTATTGTGTTCTCTGAGCTGGATTGTTTAATCGTGAAGCTTTCATTGTCTTTCTCCTGGACAACATCATTAGCACTAACTTCACTATGAAGTAGTGAGCTGTCAATATCTCTCCGTGAGTGCTTTAGTGGCTTGCCTTGATGAAGCGGTCTATGATTGGTTGTTTCCGTTGATTGTTATGTCATTGACTGCATAAACTTTCTTGTTGGCTGTTCCTCTGCTTCAACTCTCACCTTTCTGTCGTTTATCATTTTCTTATTGGTTTGTAGATTGGGTCTATGTCTATACATCTGTTGGTTGCTGACTGACCTGAATGCCAAGCTTCTAGGAATTCTCTGATATTCCTTGTGTTTTCTCTTCCCATCCAACATTTCTACATTGTCGAAATTGAAAAAATGTCCGTAATTATCCACATGCATTGAAATGAGTGATGAAATGTCGCGTGTGACGTTTAACAGCCAATTGGTGTTCATGTAGAAGAAGGCGAAGAGAGCGGCCACTTTGTCCAATGTATTGTTGACTACAATTAATGCAGTTGATTTTGCAAATGATATTCGGTTTATCTTCTTTGGTTGTTGCATCCTTTGGTCTGTATAATAGTGTTTGAAGGGGATTTGTTGGTTTATGAGCCACACCGATTCCAAGTGGTTTCAGTAATCTTGTCGTGATTTCTGATATATTCTTTATGTATGGTAGGATGATGCGTTATTGATTTCTGTCGATGACTTCTTAGATCATAACGTACGGGATAGGTATCTTCTGACAAAGTTTCGTGAGTAGCCATTCTTCTTTAGGATGGACATCAAGTAATTTTCTTCCTTTCTCCGTGAAGTTGTTGCACTGCAGTGAAGTGCAGTGTGTTCTCGCTCTTATGAATAGAGTTTGAACGTAAATGATCACGTGCATTGTTGGCTTCCTGTACACTTGGGTTTCCAGCTTCCCCGTATTTGTTCTATTGACCAGATGATGATGTTGTCTAGAAGAACGATGAAAGCTTCAGGATTAAACAACCCAGCTCAGAGAACACAATACAAACAAGACCATCCACCTGAGCTACAAATATTCTCCACTATTTCAATTCCGTTTTCACCCGTATATTCTATCAAAGAATTCATGTAAGAATAAGCTCAGAAGAAAACTTTAAAGGTTACGTCACAATTTATAATGTCACAAAGAACAAAAGTATAGCCAACGCATCTGCGATAATATTCAAGACGATGATCCATAGAGATATAAGCTAGAACAGATCCTAACGATGACTTCAGCTCCACCTACTGAGATGTTGGCAACCGGTTAGCATCATACTTTTGCATATACACATACATATAAATATGCTTGACATGCGTTTTGTACCAGTCAAGTATAAGATTATACACCATCATTGGTCTGCTGATGGATAGGGAATGGAAGTGTGGTGGAATATATCGATCACTTCACCTAATTTGGGTTGTTAACCTTGATCGACTGAGACGCCATTTGATGAACATGCCAAGCCACAACGTGAAATCTTCTAAAGCTTGAATATTTACGCTAGTCTTTATCTTCAAATTATTAATTCTCTACTGTGACACAACTTTGTCGACGTTGGTATCACTCTTCTCCTATTCACCTGTTCTTTGAATACTACTGTGAATTGTGACGACTTGAACAGATCAACTTATGTGTGGCGATTTACGTTTATTTTCTTTAAATATATATATATATATATATATATATATATATATATATATATATATATATATATATATATATATATATAAACTATTTGTCCCTTGGATTCCTAGTGGAACATAGGGATTCAGTAGCACGTCTCCATTTCACTCTCTTCTCTGCAATCGTTTCAACTTCGCTCCACGACAGCTCACAAGCTCTCATTTCTTCCTCACATGATCTCCTCCATGTCACCCTCACCTCGGACGCCCAACTCGTTGTTTGCTATCTGGGTTTCACTCGAGTGCCTGGCATGGCGCGTGATGTCTCCGAATGGTCCTCTCAGTGCACATCCAATTCATCTCCATTTCCTTCTGTATATTTGTTCAGCGATAGGTTGTTGGTTAGTTCGTTACCCGGCCAGAGTTCCTTGTTGCTTATTCTCATTGTTCTGGCCATCTGAGCTTCAGTAACGAGCCGGTGTAGGCAGTTGTTGATGAATATCTATAGTTTGTTGAAAATGCCAATCGTAACGCGCCAAGTCTCTCAACCATATAGAAGCACTGAATTGACTGATGTTAGTGTTGAAAATCCGCATGTTGTTCACGCGTTATGCTGAGTGCAAAAGATCTCCACACTGGTTTCAGGTTAATGCAGCAAGGCCTGTCTTGCTGTGTTTCCGATCCTCGCTGGCTTTGACGTCCTCGTCTGTGACGCCTGTAGCTGGAACGGTGCTGCCCACATAGGTGAAAGGGGCTACTTCCTTTAAGTTTCTCCCATTGGTGGTGATTGAAGCTTGTTATTGTTGTTGGTGGTGGGTGGATATCTTCATCACCTCCGTCTCGGTTACATTCACTTCATGTCCCGTTTTCGCTGCTCCGCCTATTCTGTCAACTTGTCAGTTTTCGCCTGTACATCTTCAAGTTTGTGTGATATTAGACACAAGTCATCGGCGAAATCCAAATCTTTTAGGAGCTATTCCCCAGTCCAGCTTGCCTATCACTGTCTTCTCACTCCACACTGTTTCCTGCACTATCCAGTCGACCACAGTCAGGAAGATCATGGAGGATAGTAGGCAACCTTGTTTCACTCCTGTCTTCACTTCAAAAGCATCACTGAGCTTCCCATTGTGAATCACTTGGCATATGGCGTCTTCATATAGTTGTTGAATGAGGTTGATAAAGGTTTGTGGTATTCTGTAGTGTTGCCAAATTACTTCTCGGTCGACGCTGTCGAAGGCCTTTTCAAAATCGATGAAGTTGAGGTAGAGAGTTGACTGTCATTCTACGCTGTGTTCTATGATATACATATATAACTCAATCGTAAACAAGTACAACTGTATAACATCCAATCAGCTCAGGATACCAGATTTATGTAATACCTCTACGATCACTCACAGATATACACATATCAGAATATATTTGTTTATTTTTTAGATGTATTTCATGGGTTCATATTAGTCGGTAAAAAAAAGTTAGTCGATAGGAAGCCATGAAATTAAGGTTTCATGCTAGTTGTGGCACACAACAAAAAGGTACATAAACAACCTCAGAAGGAATAATTTCTTCACAGATATTACAACCCATATCAATTAGTGCAACATTCTGAGTTGTTAACACTGAACCATCCAAGCTGCTATTGATCTCTTGTAGCACTGGACTAAACATATTGATTAATCAATAAAAATGTTATCTAGTACTAATGTTTGATGGAAAAAATACTAATCGAAATCCATTCAACATCCTAGTACACATTCATACAGTAAGCAATGAGACAACTTGTTGTATGAGGGGTGATATTACCTGGCTATTCAAATCTTGGTAGATGGAGAGGAGTTCAAACCCGTGACCCATTTAATTGAAAGTCATCTTCCTTATAAAACAAGCAGCCACAACTCCTAGAGGTACTAAATATCCATCAATCTTGATATTATCGACATTGACATTATCAGCTAAGCAGAAATATGTAAATTTAGAGGAAAAAAGAAATAATAATCATACAAATCAACCTGATATAGGTGTTATTTACTCAACTATGAGCTATAACATTATCCAGTTGCTTAGATCAAAATAAACACAGTAGGTTTTGAACATGATGACCACTACTCGATTGTCAGTTGCTTAAGCTAACGCGACTATATCAAAATAATTCAATGATAAATAAATATATCAGATTAGAATACTGACCAGGAGATGGTATATTAGTTGAATTATGCCCAATCTCTGATTCAATCAACTGATCACTAGAAGTATCCATTGGTAATAAATAGCGTAAAGTATGTAGATCACCAGAAGCGATAGCTACACGTACACGTCTATGCCAATTTTGATGCGTAAGATATAAATCTATAATAAGGAAAATAAAATACTTCAGATCAAAGTTTAGAATATCAAAAAAAACATAATTTGTAATAAATAAAAATGATTTAATTATTCACATCAGTTTTATCCACCTTAATGTTAATCTGAGCAGGACCAGATGCAATCCCGCACTAAAAACAAACGCAGAGACAACAGCGGACATCCTCACACCACACCACTCCTGCAGAACCTTTGCAAGGAAGGAAGAAAAAGGTACCTTCCCATTGACTGAAAGAAGGGATACCTTGTCAAACTCCCAAACAACAGACACCCAAATCTTTGCAACAACTGGCACACAATCATGTTCCACTCCTCCCCATACCAAGCAAAATATTAGGCTGCATCATCCTGGAGACACTAAAACATCACTCCGTTCAAAATTACGAGCGGAACAAACTGGCTAGATTCAGGAAAAACATATCATGTGCGGATCCAATTGTAACGCTACGCTACGCATCATCATAGAACACAGGACAGAATAAAAGTCAAAACTTTACCTCAATTTCGTCAACTTTGAAAACGCCTTCGATCGTGGCGTCGACCGAGAAGTAATATGGTAACTGCTTCAATACTACGGTTTCACTGCTACAAACCTCCACCAACCTCATTCAACAGCAGATATATGATAGTGGTGATGATGCTACATGCCAAGTGATTCACCATAGAGAGCTGAGAGATGCTTTTGAAATAAAGACAGATTGACAAGTAACACAAGGTTGCCGCCTACTATCACCCATCATCTTCCTCATTGTGGTCGACTCGACTGGACTGGACCATGCAAGAAACTGTGAGGAGTGAGAAGATGGACATACGCTGTTTCATTAATGAAAAGACCCGACAAGATTTGGGTCTCACCAATGATGACTTATGTTGCACACACTCGATGTACAGGCGAAAACTAACAAATTGGCAGAACAGGCAGGGCAACGAAGATGGCACTTCCTTCAAGCGAACGTAGAGAAGACACATATGACAAAGGTACCCAACCAACAACAACAACAACAAGCACCAATCACCATCAACGGGAGAAATCTAAAGCAAGTTGTCACTTTCACCTACCTCCATAACGTGGCAGCATCGGAGAGACAGCAAGACGCACCTTACTCCATTAGTCTGTGGAGATCTACTGTACTGCATTGAGCATAAAGCATGAACAAGATCCGGATTTTCAACACTAAGTCAGTCAAATCAGCGCTTTTGTATGGTTCAGAAACTTGGCGCGTAATGAATAGCATTTCCAACAAACTGCACACATACATCATGAAGAGCTGCCACTTACACCCAGTCAATAACTTAAGATCAGATAAGAAGGCCAGAAAGAATAAGCAACAAGGAACTCTGGCCTGCCAACGTACCAACCAAGAATTCACCACCTAACAAATATACGGAAGAAGAAAGTACAGACGGATTGGGCATACACTGAGAAGACTGTTTAGAGACATCATACACCAGGTCAGGTCGTCAAGTGGAACCAAAATGGCAAATGACGAGTTGGTTGTCCAAGTGTGATATAGAGGAGATTGTATAAAGAAGAAATGAGAGCTTCTGGGCAGTCGTGTAGCCAGTTTAAAAAGACTGATGTTCCACTAGGAAGGAACTCAAAGGACAAGTAATAGTAGTATTAATGTTAATCTATATCAAAAGTGGAATAGACAGGGGATAATGTAGGCATATCTTTTGCTTGACAATAGATATCTCGTACATATGTATTGATAAAAAGAGTTTTCTCCGGTAATTATAGCAAAAAGGTCTTCTCAATGTATTAACATCTAAAATACATTCCTTAGTTAATGAAGGGAAAAAAAGTATTCTGGAGTGTATAACACTTTAAGAACATGTATAATTCGTATAAACAGCATGATGTCACTAGGATAAGCAATTAGAATCGATATTCAGTCAACATTGATTCTAGAGGAATAGACTAAAAACTGAATGCAAATATCAGTTGTGTGAATTAAGTTGAATATTAGGTTTCAACATCTTATCAGTAATTGGTGTAACTTTTCAATAGACATATTTATCGGTCCCCAGAAGTCCTCTTTATAACAGTATCAGTTGATGAAAGTGAATGTATATCTGTCATTGGTCAAGTGTTTACAAAAGGTATGATAAACTCATGATTCACTAGCCTAATGCATAACCCTTGAGCACTTAAAGTGATGGGTACTAAGGTTTGGAGTGTCAATGAGAACATCATCCCTTATTAGGATGCAGATAAAGCCAACGGTGAAACTAACCCCTAGTGACCATCAATCATATTGAAGTATGCACTGACCAATCAGAATCAAGAATATGAAGAACAATAAAAATGATGTTTTATGTACAATATATAAATCTGTTTTACCTGAGAAATAAAGATACTTAGGTTTTCGATAGGTTTCCCCTTGTCACTCCTTTAAAAGTCTTGAGAACTTTCTAAGACGACTTCATATATTTTTAAGGTCGTTTGTGTGCATTCCAGTAGGATGAACAATAACTTGATGGGAGTAAACTATTTTGCATAGAGGTATATATGACTTCTAAGTGTTTGTGTAATATTGTAGTACCCAACACCAACTTGCTTCTCATTACTGCTAGGATGGATAGTTTGATCGATCATTTATCCACTGAAAATGTCCTCCCTTTGTATTTCGGTTGTGTATACTAAGGAGTCTGTGATTTGCCAAGATATATGCATTTCACATCCAACCTGAAAGGTTGGTTTATGCAGCGTCAGTAACACGGTAAACGAACGTAACGAATGACAATGAATAGAGCCTCCCCACAACTTGATTTATCAACTCCAAGGTTTCCCGTCATCAAAGTTTAGTTCTATCTGTCCAACTAACGACTATCAATCAGGACAGAATATACGCGTTGGATTCCACCGCTAACTATTAACTATTCATCAATACTATCAACCAGAAGCTAGAAGAATTTCACTTATTAATGTGTAAATCTTTAATAATTGTGTTTGAATAGAAGTTACTAAAAGAAAGGTTTGAGAAAATTGCTCACAAGTCATATATGAGACACAAAAAAACAGAGGGGATGAAAATAACAAGAAACAAAATGTTGACAAACCTTCAAAATTATCAATAATTTCTTTTATAGTATTATTTTCATTATTGACAGAACATGAAGATGATGATGGTAATTTATTGATTTTATTACTTATTACAATCTGATTATTCTTTTGATAGTCATTTTTCAAACTTTTAATCTCTTCCTCCTCCTCATCTTCTTCATCTTCTTCGTTATCATGTGAACTAGCACAGTCTGATAGATCAGATGTATCTGAACTCGATGATAAGACACTTTTTTTAATACTACCTGACGATGATGAAAGTAAACTGAGGGGACCTAGAAAAATGAAGGAAAATTAGGTAGAGAATTAAGATACAACAATTACAAATAAAAGTTGGTCCCTATTACTTTATAATTGTTACTAGAAAAAAAAAATAGGGAATTATGCAACTTTAGAACTGGCATGTTAAAGAAAAATTGTCATTCTACATTTTCCTTCCTATGAAGAAAAATTATTATTTGTTCATGCTGGTAATTTCCCATTTTTATGATGGTGGGAGTTGATTGACATCTTTTGTGAAAAACATTTTGGTCCATGGTAATAATTTTTTTTTAATTGTTATTTTCTACCTCTTCCCCCTAACTCCCTGTGTCACTTGTTGTCCAATTAAAATAGACGATGAAATGTCCTATGTCCTATTGGTTGGATAAAATCAAAACGTACTATAAAACGGAGCAAATTGAGGACGGGTTACTTCGTTTTCATGATGACCGACGATACTATCTAATGTGTCGTAATCGAAAATCAATCGATTTGTATGAAGCGTTTTTGTCTCGCTGCATTTTCGTCCTTAGAGTCTTTGAAAGTCGACCTGAAGGAGTATGAGAAACAGACGTATACACACTATGTTGTGCCAGATAACCATTTGCAAAGTGACCAAAGAGAATACGTTAAGTTTATCTGCTATAAGGCTAGTGAACACCGGTCAATAGGTGGTGTAGTGACAAGAAGGTCAGTTCTGTTTGTTTTCATTATTTAGTTTATAGAATATCCCTGAAATGTTCTTGTCGGGCGTTCGTGCTTGCTTTCTGGACAGTTACTCGGTGGCTGTTAACTCACAATCATCCCTGCAATTCACTGCTTTATGACAATAGTTCGTGGGCGTGGAAGTTGACAGGAGCTCAATTGAAGAGCATAAGGCCGTTGCTGATATTCGGAACGGCTGCATTTAATGTTGTTGATTTCGTCTATGCATACTATGGTAAACGATTGAATAGTCAAGCTGTGTTCAATATGCGCTATTGCCTCTTCGCTCAGTGTAATTTGACCGGTAATTGAATTTTCCCTTGTAACGATGTTGTTATAGGCAGTTATGAAAAGTTGCAAGGGCACATAATCAGTCAAGGTGGATCAGCATCCTTCTCTGTCACAGAGGGTGGAGATCTGAAATCATTTTTTTTCGCTACAGCCGATCAGTTGAAAACTGTCTTGATCTACTGGGTCAAGATGGCAATTAAAAGACTAATAATGAAAACCTTTTTCTCTACGAGTTAGTAGTCATCGACATCAACTTCATGGCTATTCCTATAGCTTTTACTTTCATAATCGGTGAGACATTAGAACTGATTGGTGCATTTCTGAGGTTTTTTAATAATATTATTGGAAGCCGTAGAGTGGGTGCTTTCGTAACAGACGACTCTTCTGCTATTTCGTCTACATTATGCCGAGTTTTTCCGCATTCCCATCACTTCCTGTGTCGTGCGCACATCATTCACAACGTGATAAAAAGGGTAAGCTTGTGTACAAAAGAATAGTAAAAATTTTAATGTTTGCAGGGATTACAACAGGAGGAACTGTAGTACTTTTTTCGAATGTTGTACACAAAGCATACGGGGAGGTTAATATCTTTTAATGTATCGTTCTTTTAGCTTCGAAAGTTGTCTTGTTCAAATATCTCAATACTGCTTGGAAGTGAGGGGGAGGGGGAAACTAACTAATTAACGATAGAATGCAGCATGCATGTTTTGTCTAGCTGAAGAGTCCTAAATAGAACGAAACGCACATTCTGAATCCCATTACAATCGGCCACCAAGTAAATTATACAAAAATAATATTAAATAGGAGATTTTATGAAAATTGACTAATTTCAAAGTTGTCTTTTCTGCATCAGGAAATAAAGCCAACCTCGGAAAGACACCAAGACACGCCTTCCTGTGGAGATCTACTGCACTACAGCGCGTTGCACTCAGCATAAAGTCTGAATAAGATCCAGATTTTCAACACTAATATCAGTCAAGTCAGTACTTCTATATGATGGTTGAGAGAATTGGCGCATTACGAAAAGCATTGCCAACAAACTACAGACATACATCATGAACAGCTGCCACTTACATTCACTCCATACTGAAGATGAGATCAGATGAGATGAGTAGGTGAGAAACAATAAGCAAGGAGGAAGTCTGGAGTGACAGCGAACCAACCAACGAAGCAATAAGCTGTCGTCCAACAAATATGCAGATGAAGGAAGTGGAGATAGATTCGATCGGACATAGACTGAGAAGACGGTTTGGGCTGTCGAGTGGAACCGAAATGGGAAAGGACGAGTTGGGCGTGTGAGTGTGACAGGGAGGGAATGGTGTGAGGAAGACATGGAGGGTTATGGGAATTTGTGGAGCCTGGTTAAAAGGACTGTATCGAAGAGAGTGGAATAGCGACATGCTACTGAAGCCCTATGTTTCACTAGGAACCCAAAGGACAAATAATAATTTTTCATCTTGACATAACTTTTCTCTTTTATCGAATTCGGGAATTGATTTCAATTTGATATTATTGACCATTGGTTGATTGAATCGTTGCCTTAATTTGTATATTTTAGGTTGATCAGTTAAGTAGAAACTAGGCAGGTAGGGGAAAGAGACAACTTCCTTTACATTTCTCCTGTTGATGGTGAGTGTTGCTTCTCGTTGTTGTTGTTGGTTGGTTGGGTATCTTCATCACCTCTGTCTTCTCCACGTTCACCTGAAGCAAGTCCCATCTTCGCTCTATCGCCTCGCCTCTCCTCTCAACTTGGTACTCTTCGCCTATACATCTTCGAGTTTGTGCGACATTAGACATTAGACATAAACCATCATTGGTGAAATCGAAATCTTGTGGGATCTTTTGTCGGTCAAACAGCTCATACCCATCTTCTCGTTGCATGATCCAGTCCAGTCGAGTCTTCATAGTAGACAAGTCATATCCTCATGCCCCTCATATTATTAATTTTGGCAGTATATCACGGTACTGAGAACGAATACTATTCAATAATTTAATAATTCCCATTATAACATCAAGAACAAGATATTCAGCGAAGTTACCTTTTTCAACGAATTTATTTTCAAGCTGCGTACATATATATATATATATATATATATATATATATATATATATATATATCTTCAACACCAACGTCGTCACTGTTTCTATATGGTTCAGAGACTTGACGCGTTACCAAAGGCATTTCCAACAAACTGCAGACATTCATCAACAACTGCCTACGCTGGCTCGTTACTGAAGCTCAGATGGATTGTCAGAAAGAATGAGCGACGAACCAACCAACAACCTATCACACAACAAATATGCACTGGAAGGAAGTGGAGATGGATTGGGCATACTCTGAGAAGACCATTCGGGGACATCACGCGCCATGCCAGGCACTCGAGTGGAACTCAGATGGGAAACGACAAGCTGGGCGTCCGAGGTGAGTGAGACATGGAGGAGATTGTGTGAGGAAGAAATAAGAGCTTGTGGTCAGTTGTAGAGCGAGGTTGAAAAGATTGCAGACAAGAGAGTGAAGTGGAGACGTGCTACTGAACCCCTATGTTCCACAGGGAACCCAAGGGACAAATAATAATAATAATAATAATAATAATAATAATAATAATAATAATAATAATCTGTTTGCCAATACACAAATATCTGTCAGTTTCATTTATTATTACCATTATTATTATTATTATTATTATTATTATTATTATTATTATTATTATTTGTGCTTTGGGTTCCTAATGGAACACAACGCTTCAGTAGCACGTCGCCATTTCACTCTCCTCTCTACAGTCTTCTTTACTTTGGCTCCACCCACCACTACTCATAAACTTTCATTTCTTCCTCACACCATCTCCACCATGTCACACTCACACGCCTAACCCGTCCTTTCCCATTTGGCTTCTACTCAACGGCCTGGCCTGACGTCTGATATCCCCAAACCATCTTCTCAGTTTATGTCAAATCGAATCCATCTCCACTTCCTTCATCTGCATATTTGTTGGACGACAGCTTATTGCTTCGTTGGTTGGTTCGCTGTCACTCCAGACTTCCTCCTTGCTTATTGTTTCTCACCTACTCATCTCATCTGATCTCATCTTCAGTATGGAGTGAATGTAAGTGGCAGCTGTTCATGATGTATGTCTGTAGTTTGTTGGCAATGCTTTTCGTAATGCGCCAATTCTCTCAACCATCATATAGAAGTACTGACTTGACTGATATTAGTGTTGAAAATCTGGATCTTATTCAGACTTTATGCTGAGTGCAACGCGCTGTAGTGCAGTAGATCTCCACAGGAAGGCGTGTCTTGGTGTCTTTCCGAGGTTGGCTTTCACATCGTCATCTGTGCCGCTGCCGCCGCGTGTAGTTGAAACGATGCTGCCTAGGTGTGTAGATAGGTGAAAGAGATAACTTCCTTCACATTTCTGACGTTGATGCTTGTTGTTGTTGTTGTTGATTGGTTGGGTGGGTGGGTGAGTGGTATCTTCATCACCTGCGTCTTCTCTACTTTCACCTAAAGGAAGTCCCATCTTCGCTGCCTCGCCTCTTCTGTCAACTTGTTAGTTTTCACGTGTACATCTCGGAGTTTTTGCGACAGTAGACATAACTTATCATGGGCAAAATCCAATTTTTCTAAAGTCTTTTCATCGGTTGCCTAGTTTACCAGTTCTTTAGTTTACTAGCTAGTCCTAAGCCCGGAAAAAGAAGAAAGGTTTGGCATATAGTTAGAAACCCTACCCCGTAAAACTAATCCAGTCGCTAAAGAAACTAAAAACCATAAAAAGAAATATGAAAATAAGATGAAAAATGCTTACCATAAATAAGTCGACCACTTTTTGTCTCTAACAAGGTTTCATCACCACTCTCAGATAATTTACGCCATTGATTACGTCCAGATTTGCTGAGGAAGTCAAGATTAGCATCAGGATCTGTTTGTGGAAGGAGAAAGAAAAAGAAACGAGATGAATATATATTATTAAGGCCTACCACTTAAAATAGCAGTAAATGTTTAACGTAGGAAAAGAGATAGACAGTTAAGCGTACTCCTCAAACTTGAATTTTTCTTTTATAACTATACATTCTAGAGTTAACGTAGATAGTTTGACAAAAAAAAGGGGTGAAGTTGATATTTTCCAGAAGAGGTAAAACAGACTTATAAGCAAAGTTATTTCTAAGTTAAATGGTGTTGAAGAATTAGGTCAAAAGTAGAAAAATTGAATGAAAATATGGTGACCGAGATTCTGTGAAACGTTAATTCACATAAAGTTTACACACACAAGTTTGAAAAGTAAGAACAAGAAATACTGTGAGATGAATCGAACTCATTTCATGTGCTCAAAATCTTCCACCTATACGCACTAAAATAAATATTTTGTACAGCGACTTATCAGTCTCCAATAGTAAAAGTCATTTGATACATTTCAATGGTCATCAATACTAAGTGATACAAGGTTCAACTGCTGAACAGATTTTTATTTCACTTCAGTCACCAAATCCTGACTAGGCAACCAGTGTGAATACGATCAAGCGGTAGTAACATGTCAAGAATTCACATAGTAGTTATCGAGTAAAACAACCTTCGGTGATTGAAGTGAAATAAAATTATGGTCACCAGTCGAACCTCGTAGGTCAGTTGGTACACCATTGAGTCAGAAATCCAATGGCCACTGGTTCGAATCCGTTCACGGTCGAAATTTTCATTTCACCTTCAATCATCACACAGTATAAATACTAGTCTGTCAAACTACTACCGCTATCTCAGATAGTCAAATGATAAACACTAAATACATCCCTTTAACCTAAGGATCAGTGCAAATATATATAGCGACAGAGATGAATGACAAAGTTCACGATCTAAACAACCAATACAGAGAACAAGTCAGACTAACAGAGTCGATAAGTAAACACAAAGCAAACTACAACATGATAGTAGTACAGGAATGTGATTACAGCTCAAGGTAGTAGAAATTCTAATGGAAAGGGGGATGTCTTGCCCAATTAATTGAGCCTATAAGGAAAGAGCTAGCTGTTCATATATACTTTAAAGGATAATTTTAAATTTGTTAATAGGATTGATAATAGTAATATAAGCAAAGATCATATGATTTCTTCTGATGTTGAATCATAATTCATGAATGTACCAGTTGAAGAAACAATTGATATCATATGTAGTTTAGACTTTCCATCTAACAGATTTAAAGATCTAATGATGTTATGCACAATAAATGTTCAATTCCAATTCAATGATTCGTATTACAGACAGACAGAAGGTATGACTACGGGCAGTCAGTCCTCTTGGTCTCATATTCTTAGACATAGTCCTAGGCCACTTAGAAAATACCAAACTAAGTGATGCCATCAAACAGACAAAATTGTATTTAAGGTATGTAGATGATCGTATAATTGGTTGTCTTATACTGTCGTTGACTGGACCGAATTGATGGGTCTCTGTTGGTATATGGACTCCTGTGAGGATACCTCAATATACCTGTGTTTTACTGGTAGTAATGACGAATAGTAGCTGGGCAGTGGAATCCAGGATACACATTTCGTTCTGTTTAGGACTCACCAGTCAGCTGGATGTACTTGCCTCCCAGTGAGTGATGTTGTTCCCACCGGGATTCTGGTGTTTGAAGCGATCGCTCCCGAGTCCGAATCCCGGGAAGGTAGGTACATTCAGCTGACTAGTGAGTTCCAAATAGGAAGAAATGCCCATCCTGGATTCCACTGCTAGCCACTATCCATCTACACCATGTAGATGATACTTTCATGATATATGAGAGTGAACTTTATACAGTGAACCTACTCCGAACTTTTAATCCAGTTTATTCAGACGTGAAATTCACATGTGAATATGAAACATCAGATGGGGATAAATTTCTTGAATTTAAGTATTAAAAGAAATGAAGATGGTTCTATACTACACAGAATTTAGCATAAGCCTACTTGGACTGTACAATACTCGCTATTTAATAGCTTCTGTTCAATCGGTTATAAAAGAAGTTTAGTCAAAACTTTTATTTAAAGGGAGCCATCAAAAATAAACTGGATACTATACAAAAAACTTTGTTTGTTTATTAATGAACACTTCAAACCTAAAAATGATAAAGTGAATGATACAACCATGCCAAAATAGAACGTCTTCATTAGACTACCATTAGGAAGAAGTGATGAATTGAATTCACAAAATAATCCTCAACTGAATCCATGCATCACACTAACTAATCCAGCTGAGAAATTAACAGTCATCTATGACATGAAGAACATAATCACAAAAACTAATTTACATGTAAGACCTTCTCATGTTACTAGCAATTGTATTTATTTATTCACCTATACTTACAGTAGCATGTATATCGGAAGAACAGAGACGGTCCTTACTAAACGAATCTCTGAACATGTATTGAGAAACCTGTCATTGAGAGTGGAAGGTTACCAACCAGCCCCATTGTCAAGCACATACTCCATACAGGTCATGTCATCGGCTCAAACATAGCTTTTAAGTTAATCAATAGACAAAGAAATAGTAGATTACCACGTTATATAGAAACACCAGCAATCAGTCGATTGGAACTAGACTTATGTGTACAAAAGGAGTTCGTGGTTCACCTTCCATTGCCTTGGTAACTTGTTCTTTTCCTACGGCTTTATTTACTATTTTATTCTTTCATCTTATTGCCTTGCGCAATATTATTCTCAAACATTATTCATGTCCCCATCATTTTTGACTCATTTTAACCCATTATATTTTTATCATGTTTGTTAGCATATCCTTTTCTATTCGTCTATCATTAACTCATATACTTTGCATACCATCTTTGTTATTCTCCCCCTTTCATTAGAATTCCTACTACCTTGAGCTGTAATCACATTCCTGTACTACTATCACGTTGTAGTTTGCTTTGTGTTTACTTATCGACTCTGTTAGTCTGACTTGTTCTCTGTATTGGTTGTTTAGATCGTGAACTTTGTCATTCATCTCTGTCGCTATATATATTTGCACTGATCCTTAGGTTAAAGGGATGTATTTAGTGTTTATCATTTGACTATCTGAGATAGCGGTAGTAGTTTGACAGACTAGTATTTATACTGTGTGATGATTGAAGGTGAAATGAAAATTTCGACCGCGACTGGACTCGAACCAGTGGACCAGGCATTACTGCGTAACCGTCCAACTTGCCACACCTCACATCAACACACTAAGTAAAAAGGCAGTGGGGTGCGAGATGAAGATAAGAAAATCCAGTCGAAAGGAATATAAGGTAGGAGAAGAAAGAAAGGAAGATGGTGAGAATGGGTATAGTGTAGTTAAGACGAGGATAATGTGTGTGGGGGATACATCTGCGCCACTGACGTCGGTTCCCACCCATATCCCCTAGAGTCTCCAACCACTGATTCCTCTTGTCCCGCCAACCCCAAACACCAAGTCTGCATCGACCCACATGACTCAAATCAATAGTCAGAGACTTCATGCGTTGGTGCCATGTTTTAGTCTGGCCACCTCGGGCCTTTTTCCAGCCTCAACCTACTTCGGCAACATTGTGTGATGAGGTAGTCGGTGACTAGGAATACGTAGTACGTGTCTCAACCATCTCAATCGATGAAGGTTCATAACCTCGTCAACTGATTTACCTCTTCTCCCCCACTAAAACTTTACACCTGACTTCTACGTTACTCAAGTGGTGACATTACAGAATACATCCTATACTACGAAGGCAACGGTGGTCAAACACTTGAAGCCAACCTTCTCATGTCTTCCACCTCCAATGGCCATGTTTCCCACCCATACAATAGAACAGAGAGGACTGCTGTGTAGCACACGCCATGCTTAATATATAATCGGATATCACGGTGGTGCCACAGGTGGCTTGCAAAAGCCAACCGAGCCTTTTGTATCCGTGCAGAGATTTCATCGGCCACTGAGCCACTAAGGCTGATCCTACTTCCTAGGCAAGTGAAGTGGTCTGTATGTTACCAATCAGTCACTCAGTGAAAATAGAATGGCCCATGTTTTCAAACATCTGTCGATTCATGATATACATTATATTTTCTATTCATGTTCGGTTCGATCCCAAATGCAATCATGAATGCTTACTGTTGAGGCGTTCTAATTCTAGGATAAAACGGCCGCTCAATGCTCCTAGGCTCCCAATGGTTTTATGGCTGATGTCAGTTCGTGATGAAAATCGCCTTCGAAACTAATCAACCCGTCAAAAACTTTCAAACTAAATTAACAAGTTTTATTGATGAACTACAGATTCTGGGTTGACCACTTTCTCATAACTGAGTAACTATACTCAGTAACCATAACAGTGGTTTCTAAAGTTTTGACTTGAAACCACCTAGTAGTAGTCAGTAACATTAGTTGTAATCCCTAAGGGAGCTAAATATTGAAATATGTATTGACTGGTTACGGGAGAGCAATCTCATGTCGTCTAGTCCTGAGTGCAGACTGAATCCTATCGATCACATTTGTAATGTGGCCATCAAACTAGGAGGTTCAACATCGCGGTGCACATTAATAGATGTAAGTTGGTTGGAGGCAATCGGCAACAAGCCCTGCTTGACGTAGGTTTCGTGCTTGGTGGCACTCGTCAGCAAGGCGTATCTGCGCAACCTCGATGGAACTGATGTCCCACCTGAGATTCGAACTCGCGTCACCCAGTGTTGTAGTCAGTGACTTTATCACTGAGCTGTTCGGGTGGCGACTGACCTCCTGTAGGGTTACATATATTTGTTGGTCACCGGAGAGCTCAGTGGTAAAGTAGTTGTCTGAAACATTGGGTAAAGGGGGTTTGAATCTCCGGCGGGGCATCAGTTCTGTTGAGGTTATAGATACGCCTTGCTGACGAATGCCAACAGGCACGATACCTAGATCAAGCGTCAGTCAATGAATTCCTTGTTCTAGTTGTTAGATATTTCATCAGATTTATTTTGTATTGTGCAGGTGTAGAACTAAAAAGCTGTGTATCTCAAAGTGCGTACTTTCGTATCCATATTCTGATCACTGGATAACGAACGGTGTCACCAAAGTACCATTAAAAACATCAAGCTTCTTAATGACACCCTTGAACACTTACGTCACTCTTCAGTTTGTCCAAAAATAAGTTTGAATAGATTAGACCTGTTGATAATCCCATCCACTTGTCGCTCCTATGGATTATTGAAGACAAAGGGTACATTCATTCAGATATTCCAATACTGATCTTTTTTTATATTACTTGTTGACAAATGAAATCAGCTGTCCCCTGATCAGCGGAATATTATTATTTTTCCGTTGGGTTCCTAGTCGAACATAGGGTTTCAGTACCACGTCTCCCTTGCACTCACATCTCTCCAGTCTTTTGGACCTGGCACTAGGACTGCCCAAAAGCTTTCATTTCTTCCTCACAACATCTCCTCCATGTCACACTCACCTCAGACGCCCAACTAGCCGTTTCCCGTCTAGGTTCCACTCGAGGGCCTGGTCTGACGCGTGATGTCCGCGAATGGTCTTCTCACTGCATGCCCAATCCATCTCCACTTCCTTCCAATGCATATTTGTTGAGCGATAGCTTCTTGCTTCGTTCCCAGAGTTCCTTCTTGCTTGTTCTTTCTCGCCTTCTCATCCGATCTTCAGTATCGAGTGAGCGTAAACGGCAGCTGTTGATGAATGTCTGTTGTTTGTTAGAAATGCTTTTTGTGACTCGCCAAGTTTCTGAACCATACAGAAGCACTGACTTGACATCGGTGTTGAAAATCCGCATCTTGCTCCACATGCTGAGTGCAGAAGATCTCCATACTGATTTCAGGTTAATGAACGCCTAACTTGCTTTTCTGATCCTGGCTTTGACATCCTCGTCTGTGCCTGTGCCACCTGTAGTTGAAACACTGTTGCCTAGATAAGTGAAGGAGGCTACTTCCTTTAAGTTTCTCCCGTTCATGGTGATTGAAGCTTCTTGTTGTTGTTGGTTGGGTATCTTCATCACCTAATAATCAGTATTGATACTGATAATTTATAACTAAACAATAGTCCCCTATGAATTCAATCTGTTGTATCAGGCAATATAAAGGTAATCAGTTCTAATGTAGAAAATGAAGTGCATATTATACACTAGAAAAAATTACTGTTACTATGCATACCATATACATCGAATGTTGATAAATCCTTGTACAACTCTTTAACGTGTGTATATGTGATATGTTTACTGCGACAAGGTATCCTGCGTAATCTTAAATCATCTATTGTCATACCAAGTCGAGCATTACAAGCTTCTATAGCTAATGGATCTGGAAGTGAATTAGAAGATACTTGAGAATCTGTAGTAACTGAAAGATAATTATTTGATACATCTTGATTATATACTCCAGAATAGATGAAGATGATGTAGGTGGATTGAAAAATATACTTCGATTCACTTTAGGTGACCAAAGAAATATAAGTTGACAAGATTGTAACAGAGTACGCCATTTATTATGCAAAAGATCACTGATTTCCTGAAATACGAAGAAAATAGACATTATTAAAGACATAATGATTCCTTAAATTAATTAATAATTAAGAGAATAAATTTAATTTACTCATTAAAAATATTTTCCATTACATAGTTGTCAATGAAATCATTTATAAAAGTGTCCGAAAATGAAGAATATAGACCACAATCAATGAAATCACCTTGAACACATATTGACTAAGATGATAATTACAATGCATGATGTTCTATTGAGTTCATAATTCCATTTAGATACTGTATATGTTTGTTTATTTTTTGATTTTGTATGAATACCAGATTATTTGATCAAAGTGAATTATACTCTTGTAATGAATGGACTGGATTCAAAACGACGACCGGAACAGACTGGCTGGCTGGATTCAGGAAGTACAAATCATGTGCCAACCAAATTGCAACGCCACTCTACCCATCATCATAGAACAGAGTATAGAATGGCAATCAACTCTCTACCTCAACTTCATCGACTTTGAGAAGGCCTTTGACAGCGTCGACCGAGAAGTAATTTGGAAACTGCTTCATACTACGGAATACCGCAAACCTTTATCCGCCTCATTCAACAACTATATGAAGACGCCACATGCCAAGTAATTCACAATGGGAAGCTCAGTGATGCTTTTGAAGTGAAGACAGGAGTGAAACAAGGTTGCCTACTATCCCCCATGATATTCCTGATTGTGGTGGACTGGATCATGCAGCAAACAGTGGGGAGTGAGAAGAGGGGGATACGCTGGCTGGACTGAGGAAAAGAACCTAGAAGATCTGGACTTCGCCGATGACTTGTGCCTGATGTCACACAAACTCGAAGACCTATAGGCAAAAACTAACAAGTTGACATAAGAGGTGAGGCAGCGAAGACGGGACTTCAGGTGAATATAGAGAAGACAGAGGTGATGAAGATACCGCACCAACAACTCCAACAACAACAACTCCAGTCACCATCAACGGGAGAAACTTAAAGGAAGTAACCTCCTTCACTTATCTAGGAAGCATGTTTCAACTACAGGTGGCACAGACGAGGATGTCAAAGTCAGAATCGGAAAAGCAAGATAGGTGTTCATTAGCCTGAAACCAGTGTGGAGATCTGCACTCAGCATGCGGAACAACATCCGGATTTTCAACACCAACATCAGTCAAGTCAGTGCTTCTGTATGGTTCAGAGACTTGGCGCGTTACGAAAGGGATTTCCAATAAACTATAGACATTCATCAACAACTGCCTACACTGGCTCGTTACTGAAGGTCAGACGGCCACAAAGAATAAGCAACAAGGAGCTCTGGCAACGAACCAACAAAGCAAGAAACTATCGCTGAAGAAATATGCATTGGAAGGAAGTGGAGATGGATTGGGCATACACTGAGAAAGCCGACTGGGGCATTACGCGTCAGGCCCTCGAGTGGAATCCCCAAGGGAAGCGACGAGTTGGACATCCGAGGGTGACATGGAGGAGATCGTGCGAGGAGGAAATGAGAGCTTCTGGGCTGTCATGGAGCCAGGTTCAAAAGATTTCGGCGAACAGAGTTCACTGGAGACGTGCTACTGAAGCCCTATGTTCCATTAGGAACCCAAGGGACTAATAAAATAATATAATAATATAAATAATAATGGAAATATGAACCTCGCCTAGTTTACTAGCCGATCCTTAACCCGAATAAAGAGAGAAAGTTGGGAGTGGGGTTAGCAACCCTACACCGGAAAACCAATCCAATCGCTAAAGAAACTTCAAAAGACACAGACGAAATATAAAAAAAACTTATTCCTCACTGGTTGGTGAAAGCCTTCGGGAAGCCAATTGGCCGATGTATCTTCTCTAGCTCGATGAAAGCAAAAGTAAGCATATGGACATGGAATGTCTGCATAATGTTTGAAGCTAGCAAGGTTGCTAAGATTGTAAAAGAAATGAGAAGATGCTATATCGTTCAGAGACTTGGTGTGTTATGAAAAGCATTTCATTCCAACAAACTGCAAACATACATCAACAACTACCTACGCTCGATACTGAAGACCAGATGGTTAGAAAGAATAAGCAACAAGGAAGTCTGGGAACGAACCAACGAAGCAAGAAGCTGTCACCCAACAAATAAGCAGAAGAAAGTAAGGCTGGATTAGACATACACTGAGAAGACCGTTTTGGTGGGGGCACATCACGCGTCAGGCCAGGTCGTCGAGTGGAAGCGAAATGGGAAAGGACGAGTTGGGCGTCCGAGGGAGACATGTCGGAGATTGTATGAAGAAGAAATGAAAGGTTATGGACAATTGTGGAGCTAGCTTCAAAAGACCGCAGGGAAGACAGCGAAATGGTAACGTGCTACTAAGGCCCTATGTTTCCCTAGGAACCCAAGCGACCAATAACAATAATTATAATAATAATGGGAATATGATCACATATGACTATGAGGATACTATTCTCCTCCAGATCAAAGCTATCACTGACAAGGATTCTGTCTATACGCCACCATGGATGTTCGAGACCCCCATGATGCCAATTGTAGCTGCAATGCGATTTGCTCCATTAATGTAGAGACACTTCATTGCGAAAAATTAACAGTATATCATAGTACTCCGAGGTGGAGTTGAAGTCGTCATCCATATCAGTGAAACTATTCAAATGAAGAGGAATTATATTCCCGGACGACCTCGAGAAAGCCAAATAAGAATATTGGGGATGTAAAACAGTATCCTGAGGAAAGACTTCAAGAAGAGAGCTGCAAACAGCAGTTTACCCCCCCCCCTTCTACTTACTATCTTGAAAATAATGCTGCCTGAAAAGATAATATCATACGGATCAGTGATCGGCACACACCCAACTATTGTCATCCCATCAGTAAATCACCTGTCTGATTTCACTGACTTAGTCACTAGCTACGTGAGACTGAAGGTTAATGACACTTCGATAGACAAAGTAGGACTCGAACCCAATTTGTTCGTCGTCTGAAAGTCATCGGTATAAACCAGTGAGCTACAGCTAGGAAAAATCTTAAAAGAACAGAAGTAGTAAAAAGCAACCTCGAAAACTTAATTATCTTTCTATTAACTTAGTTTAACTTGAAATTCAGGAAAACTCTTTACAGACACACAAAGAATCTATTTCAATCACTCAGAGATCATCACTTTGTCAAGTAGTCAGACATCCTCACACAACACGCTTAATGTTATAACTGTTTATCAGCTGAAGAGAGTCTAGATAGCTGATATTAAAAACTATTCAGAGGAAGCTTATACAACTCGGTACATGTTTATGTACTAGGCTATAAGTCGCACTACTTTCAAGATGGCTTATAATACCAGACAAATAGAAAAACAGAATCAATATAGAACTTCTCACTCAAATTGCCACACTTTACAGTAGTGTACAAAATACAAGTGGATATAATAAAAATGATACTAAAGTAGATAAAGTTGCGTGTGAGAGAATAAACGATTTTTAAAATAAAGCCTCGTGTAAATATTCAGGCTTTATAAGAAATCGAAGAGTGAATAACACTTGCACCATTGTCATCGATTTTCAACCATATTATCAACAAGTCATCAACCAATGATTCCTATCGTCTCATCAACCCCAGACACGTAGTATACACCTACCCACCCCCCACCCTTTCTACACAACTCAGACCAGCAGTCACCAACTTCTGGCATTCCCCCTAACATCTCAGTTGCCTCAACCTCAACCCTCTACCAACCAAATCCAAATTCATTCACAATGCTAAGTACATGTAGGCGATGATACAGCATGTGCAATATATCCCCTCAAGCCATTTCACACCATGAAGCTTCAATACATAATCAATCCACTTGTCTCGCTTGCCTACCACCCATCACCTCACATCAACATCGCTCACACGATATTCCCATAAAACATGACAAATCAATCCTATGAAGAAACTTCTGCTCAAAAACCTACAACCGCTCCACCTCTTCTTCTTTCAACGACTATGTTTCATAGTCAGTTGTATCACATGACACAACTGACTCCAATACAGTATACTCATAGTCAGATATCTCACCAGTCACAGCCACAGATAATACAACTTGGCAAATCTCAAACTACCCTTCTGTATTCAAGGTGAGATTTTCCAACAAACCAACCTGTTATCGCAACTCCTAGAAGTAAGTCAAGCAGTCGACACATTCCACCACTTCACTCCCTATCCTTAAACTAGGAGTAGTTGCAGCAGACCAATCTTGCACTTGACAGGTGCGAAACACATGCCAAACAAACTCAGATTTCTTTCCAACGTGTCCACATGACCCTGCATTTTTTTTTCCAGCATCTTCACCTAGCACGACAATATTGTATGCACACTTAAATCAACCAGCAGGCCTCCTAAGAAGTCAGACGTACATGCAGTTATATACATTAGTACATCTATGACAAAATTAAACAGAAACGATCACAGTGAGCATATTTGGCGGACACCACTAGTTGTCGTCAATTCATATGACAACTTTACATAAGCCCTTAATACAGCTGCATAAGTTCGAGTCGACAGCTTTGATAAGCATTGTCAGACAGTAGAGTGAGGTTCATCAAAACCGTGACCCATAGCATTAAAGTCCAGATTCTGAGCTAACAAGTCAAATCTCAAGTGTAATAATAATACAGCGATAAATATACGAAGTAATAATAATAACAACAACAATACTTACATTACGGATAGCTGTTTCTCCATGACGTCGGAGATTAGCACCAGCCGATTTGGACCCGCGTAGACCACCACACAATGAATCATAAGATGATTGTCCACCACCTTGTTTAGCACGTACAGTATAATGTTGTAAAGTTTTATGGGCAACTTCATTCATCCTTTTAGAGCAGATAGTATTTTTTTTTGATACAATAACAATAATAATTAGATTATCGCTAATTGATTGAAATTCAGTTAATTAACTAGCATATTTGTTGAATAACACTAATATAAATATGTTAGTTGGTTGGAGGCAATCGATAGGAAGCTGACACTTGTGAGCAATATGACTTCAAAAACCAGGAGGGAACACTAGTTCTCTTGAGGTTGCAGATACACCTTGTTGATGCATGCCAGCAAGCTTGAAAACCTAAGATCTCGGATATCTGTGAATTACCTCCAACCAAATAACATCTATCAGTCCACCATAATGATGAGTCCCCAAGCATGGCTAGTATTCGATCAGCATATAGGACTAGACAACGTGAAGCTGGTTACCCTCCAGTAACCAAACAATTCATATTCATTTTCTTTCAGAGATTAAAACTCATGTTACTCAATGCTGAAGTGGAAACCTTACCAGTAGGCTATTGTGATCCTGGTTGATCCCATTTATGAGTAGAGTATGGCTCATGAAGCCTTCAAAGAAGCCGGTGATAGGTCACAATTCAAGTTCAACACCCAGAACAGAAATTGAAGGAGGAAACTTCAAAGGACATCTTCACGTCAGTCAGTCATCAAAAAAATATGGGAGACATTAAGTAACATCCCTAAGGAAACCTGCGTGGAAGAACACTGGAACTCTTTGAAAGAGACGTGGAAGGAAACCTGCATAACCGTGTTAGGAAGGAAGAAGACAAGGACAAGAAAAGAAATGGATCTCGACGGACACATGGAAGCTGATAGAGAAGGGAGAAGGTGGTGAAGCAGACGATGAACCAGTGTGGTGCAGTGCAGGGATGAACAACGAAGAGAAGAACTGACTACAACCTACAGAACACTACACTGAACGAAGAAGTGAAGAAGAGTGCACACGAAGACAAAACACACTTCTACGACACACTTGCAACCGAAGCACAAAAGGCTGCAGGTAAGAGAGACAGAGACGTAACAACATTATATCAAATAACCAGGCTACTATCTGGGAAAAGATCAACACAAACGAAACAAATGAAAGATAGTGAAGGGAACTTAGTCACCACCAAAGAGGAGAAACAAAGGAAATGATGGGCTGACCACTTCGAAAAACTCTTGAATCGATGATCTTCCTGACCGTGGTCGACTGAATCATGCAAGAAACCGTGAGGAGCGAGAAGAAGGGCATACACTGTTTGACCGATGAAAACACCCTAAACCATTTGCATTTTGCCAGTGATGATTTATGTCCAACATCTTGTGTCGCACAAACTCGAAAATCTACGGGCAAAAACTAACAAGTTGGCAGAAAAGGCGAGGCGAAACAGCGAAGACGGCACTTCCTTCAGGTGAATGTAGAGAAGACAGAGACAATGAAGATACCCAACCAATAACAAGCACGAATCCCTATAAACGGGAGAAACCTAAGGTAAGTTATCTCTTTCACCTACCGACCTACCTACCTAGGCAGAATCGTTTCAACTACACGCGGTGGCGGTGGTGGCGGCACAGATGACGATATCAAAGCTAGCATCCCAAAGACAGCAAGATACGCCTTCCTTCATTAATCTGTGGAGATCTACTGCACTAAACTTCACTGCACTCAGCATAAAGCGTGAACAAGATCTGGATTTTCAACACTAAGTCAGTCAAGTCGGTGCTTCCATGTGATGGTTGAGAATTGGTGCATTACGAAAAGCATTGCCAACAAACTGCACACATACATCATCAACATCTCCCGAATACCCTCACTCCATACTGAAGATCAGATCAGATCAGATGAAAAGGCGAGAAGGAATAAGCATGGAGGAAGTGTGGCCTGGCAACGGACCAACCAACCAACGAAGCAAGAAGCTATCGTCCAACAAATATACAGGAGGGAGTGGAGATGGATTGGATAGGATATAGACTGAGACGACCGTCTGGGGACATCACACGTCAGGCCAGGTCGTCGAGTGGAATTGAAATGGGAAACGACGAGTTGGGCGTGTGAGTGCGACATGAAAGAGATGGTGTGAGAAAGAAATGAAAGGTTATGGGCAGTGGTGGAGGCAGGTTGAAAAGACTGTATAGAAGAGAGTGAAATGGCGACGTGCTACTGAAACTGAATGTTCCGCTAAGAACCCAAAGGATAAATAACACATAATAATAATATACAATGAGGATTAAAGTCGAGGTATGTAGAACTCGTGTATACAGATTAATTTGGATATAAATTCCTAAGAAATGAGATAGCTGAATAGCATACTGAAGTATAAGCGGAACAAAATAATGACGATTGCATTGACAGTGCTAAGATAAAAGAGGCGAAGTGATGGTCACTTGGAGAAATCTTTATGTAATTCATAATTCATCCATTGACATTCACTTGTAAACGCATTAACCGATAACCTTAGAGGATCCGATTATTTGCTCGAAAGTAAGTAGGTTCTGACTCATCGATTGTTGTGTCCCACATGGTGGTCGCATTGAGTTGTTGCTTTGTGTTATTCAAAAGGCGTGAAAAAGTGGATTAGCTGGAAGGTTCACTTTTGAATAATAACAACAGAATGGCCTCCACATGTTGCAAGACAGTGCATCAGATCCTATTAAATCAGGATAGAGTAGGGTATTTCAGACAAATGAGGAAGATCAAGTGAGTTGAGCCCATAGAAAACAGAATCAGCTTACAGGAGATACGGCATTCTTATAGACACGGTGACATGGGAAGCATGTATATCACACATATTTTATCAATCATTTGAAGATAACTAAGGTACGTGCTAACGGTTGTTTGAAAGACCTACTCAACAAATCTAGGATATGTATTTGGTAATATACTCAGCCTTAATATAATCAGTGCGGCCCATACATCAGTAAATAAACATACACCAGCTTGACTTCAATTTTTGTTGAAAACAAGTTTTAGGCTTCATTCTAATAACAATTCAACTTTTGCAAGATTAACACTGAAAACAGTTCCCCTCGCTAACTGATAAAAAATAATTCAGTAAAGACAATTTCCTTCTCAAAAAAATTATTTTGAAAAGCTGTACACTCGTATTCATACTGATAATGGGAATATATGTCCACCTGTGGCTAATGGGTCAACATACAAGACTATCAAATATCGTTTGTAGGATTACAACAGGGTAATCAATGGCTGAAAGGTCAATACACAGTCATTGATATGGTGATTGCGTAACAGTCTATGATATGATAGAAGAGGTAAGAAAAGTGGAGCAATCCTCCTACTGACAATACTGACAAATGAAATAAAATAAATAAATGAACAAATAATAAGTATTGGGTGATGATTGAAGGTGAAGTGGAAATTTGGACCGCAGTCGGATTCGAACCAGCGACCACCAGGTTTCCGGCCTGATGCTCTACCAACTCAACTACGAGGTCCAACTACTGACCACATTTTTATTTCACTTCAATCACAAGTGGGATTTTGCCTGACTATCATGTGAATTCATAATGCGTTACTACCGCTTGATTGTACTCACATTGGCCACCCATTAGTCAGGACTCCTCATCCAACTCCAAATCTAACTGGATTAAAATGACAGGGGGAGCATCATACTGATTATCATTTTGATTACTATCTTAGATAGCAGCTGTGGTTTGGAAGACTAGTATCTATACTGGGTGATGACTGAAGATAAAATGAAAATTTGGACCGCCGTCGGAGTCGAACCTTCAACCACCCTCAATCATCACCAAGTATAAATACTAGTCTGCCAAACTATGACTGTCTCAGATAGTCAAAATAAAAGTAATAAATCAGTAAAATGTCTTTGGGAGACCTTGATCAAGGCAAAATTAGAGATTTGGCGTACCTCTGGTGAATGCAGAGATCAGGCTTGAACTGATGAATTACCAAAACTTCGGCTGTGGCGAATCCGCACTCCCTTTGAAATGTTCGGATTTGACTCTCTAAACGACTTTGAAGGATGTTTCTAACGAAACCAAGTGACCAGAGTTACTTAGATTCTCGAAAATCGAGCTGCTCATCGATTTGCACTCCTTTAAACAGCTATACAGGATAGTGTTTGGAGATGCGTTTGAATAGAACACCCTTTACGCTGCCTATGACTAAGATCATCAACTCCCTAAGACATTTTATTTAGTCAATTTATCAACAGTATTATTCTCACCCCCTTCCCTTACTCTGCAATCGTTTATTTCAACAGGACTGTCTATCATGATTGCCGAGTAATTATCAGTTAGAAAATGAAGACGTTCTCATTGCATCACTTTCTATCGAAGTCGATGTCCGTAGAATTCTAATAAACGCATTTCAGCTTCTTCCGGTAACTGCAGCACAGGTTTTTATCTACAATTAACGTGATCCGTTTCTGCAGCAGGTTTCCAAGTTCATCCGATGTGGCTGGCCCCTGCATGTCCTTTCGCCTGATCTCAAAACGTTGTATGAAAGACGATAATTTTTATCCATTGTTGATGACTGCATAATGTTTTCAGATCGTGTTATGGTTACAGCAAATCTTTGCAGCTATGTACTTTGTCAACTTCATTCGTCACATCCTGGCGTTGGGAGAATGAAAGCAGTTGAGCGCAGTTATGTGTACTGGCCTAACATTGATAAACATTTCGTAGACGTCGTTCGAAAACACAACAAAGGTGCTCAAACGTCAAAATGTCCACACAAGACAGAACTGTGTTCCTGGCCGCTACCAGAAAAATCATACTCCCGTCTCCATGTTGATTTTTCTGGACCGTTGGACGGTATGTACTTCTTAGTATGTGTTGATGCATATTCGAAATGGCCAGAGATTTTTCCAATACAGTCCATCACATCGCAGTCAACAGTGAACCAGTTACGTCAACTAGTCTGTCATTTTGGCATTTCCTATGTTCTGATATTCAACAATAGGTTGCAGTTTACATCGTCGGTATTCTCAGATTTCCGCAATCAGTTTGGTATCCAGCAGATTCGTACCCTTCCATATCACGCTCAGTCCAATGGTCAAACTGAATGGTCCGTTGATACTTTCAAAAGAGCTTTCATGAAGGCGAAGTGGGAGAGGACGACAGACAAAATCTTGGATAACTTTTGGCTACTTTATCGTACGACACCGAATCCATTAGCACCAAATCACTCACCTCCAACAGAAATTGTTTGTCCGAAAAGTCTAAATCGTTTTCGTGCAATCCCACCTAAACGAATAAAGAAGGGCTGCAGAAATACTAAACTGGAAAGTCAGTTTAATCGTCACCATGGGCTAAATGTCAAACCTTCAATTTGCATCAGCATATCTACGTGAATGATTGTCACTATTCACCTTCAAGATGGACTGGTGGACAGACAGTTGGACGTAAAGGGAATGTTCTATACAAAGTGAATGTAGAAGGATAGATATGAACCAGACACGAATCATATACTAAGTGCGGCCGACACAGACGATAAAAAGAAACAAAACTTCACACTAGAAGTTTTAATGGATACTTTTAATCTTCAGCAGCTAGAAGCATCGAATAGGACCCAATTCATCCCCACTCAAAGATAAGTTCGACAAAGAATAAGATTTAAAAAATTTCAAATAGATCTTAAGAAAGAAGACATACAATTTTAAGGGGGGAGGTGATATGTAGTGGGCAAAAAGGCAACCAATAGCGAAACTGTTTTCAGATCATGATTTATGCATGTACTGACATGATAACCTGATTGGACAAGTTCGAAGTCAAACAATCTGATTGGTTTATTTATGGCTTCATTTTCTGAGGGTTTTATATATATATACATGTATTTGTCTAGTAAAGATGGTGTTATTGTTCTTACAGTCCCAGGCCGGTCTTTTGTATTCTGATATCTCCGTGGCTCAGTGCAGCAAAACGAAATGAGGGGAGGTCAGCCGTAACAGTATTCGGTTGAAGTGTCTACTGGGTCTCAGTATCACTATACCCAAGCATGCAATTCCACTCGGTCATAACAATGTCCCACTTTTCTTACATATCTTATCATGTCACAGATTATAATTAGACAATTACTATGTACATTAATGATGGATAGTACTTAGCATGACGTATGTTTGAACAACATTAATCACTATGTACTCCGAGAAACAATATTTGGTGACTTTGTGTTGACCGATTATTCATCGATGGAGATATATTCCTGTTGTAACTATAAATACGAATGTACAGCTTCTAAGAAAAGTAGATTCTCTTCGTTAAATCGTCTTTTGTTATTTTTTTTTAATGAACTAATGAGACTATGCCGATAATTGATATTACTCATCAACTACTCAAACACTAAAGTAAACCTTTTAAAGAGGATAACAAATGCTTCCTCGAATTAACTTCTTGTAAAGTTTTATACTTTCTGATTACTTCCATTAAACAGTATCTCCTCTTCGCTGTATATCTTGATGGTATCATACATAGTAAAGCATCTTGACGTGATACTGTCTTCTTATTCTAAGAACTAAAAGTCAGGAAGATTGATCCAAAAGATAGTAAATCTTATGCTTTATCCTTGAGAATTCACTTACCAGTGGTAAGGTTAACTGGTGAACAGAGAAAAAAATCTATTAAGGCAAAAAAAATTTATCATGAAAGTACCACCTAGTAACCATGACTACTAGTGCGTATATAGTAAAGATTGTTAAACAAACAAAAAATCTGTATATCACTGTATTAATTTCACCTGTATAACAAGCACTAAACGAAAATAGTATTTGGTGGCTACCGGTGGAATGTAGGACGCAGGTGCATCCAGCTGACGAGTCCGAAATAGGAAGAAACGAGGACAATTGGAAATTGGTGTCTATTCGACTAGAACTTTTCAAAGTTCTGTATGTAATACTTATCTTTTTCTTCAAGTTGGTATTCATCGTGGACTGACATCAGTTGGAGAAACATTGCAAACCTGCACATCCACTGCCCTCCCCCCAGGGATCGAACCCACGACCTTCAGGTTCCTCGGTCAGCACGTTGCCATTGAGCCACTGGCTCGGAATCCAATATATTTTAAAGGTAACTTACCCATCGAAAATACCACCAGCGAATTTGCCACCAGAATAGAGAAGAATAGCCCATCTTCGACTCTGTCGAACACGTGATACACACGCCAATAATTCATCCATTGTCACAGGCATTGTCTATGCATAACAAGAACAATAACAGAGAATAGGAAACCAAAATGCCTTCAACTTTGGAATATTTAATACTATACAACAAAAATAGTTTTTTTCAACTGCTGTAGAATAAAATCTCACTGTTAGTTGGATAGAGGTAATCGGTAGGAAACCCTTCTTCACCTAGGTTTCATGCTTGTTGGTACTCATCAGCAAGGTGTATCTGCAAAGGAAGAAATGTCCCCTCCGAGATTCGTATCCTGTTATGGGTAGTTTACTAGAAAACTTTACCGTCAGAAATGAACATCAGACTGATCTAGAAGTAAATTCGTAAAAGAGCCCAGGTGAGTGATCTTGATTGTATTGTGTTCTCTGAGCTCTAATCGGGAACCTTTCATTGTCTTTCTAGACAACATCCTCAGCACTCACAAACCAATAAATTCCCTCCAAACACTATTATGGAGACCAAAAGACGCAATAACCAAAGAAGACAAACCGAATATCATTTACAAAATCAACTGCAATAACTGTATTTAACACTACACTGGACAAAGTGGTCGCCCACCTTCACCTCAGCCTATATGAACACCAATTAGCTATTAAATTAAACGTCACACACAACATTTCATCACTCATTTCAATGCACATGCATAACAACTATGGACATGAATTCAATTTTGACAATGTAGAAATGTTGGATGGGAAGAGAAAACACATGCAATATCAGAGAATTCCTAGAAGCTTGGCATTCAGATCAGTCAGCAATCAGTAGATGTGTATAGACATACACCCAATCTATCAACTAGTGAGAAAAGTGACAAACAACAGACAAGTCAGAGGTCAAGCAGAGGAACAGCCAACAGGAAGGTCTATGTAGTCAGTCAATGACACAGCAACCAATTACAAACCAGTTGGTCAGGACAAGCTATCAAATCACTCATGGAGAGATATTGATAGCTCACTTCAAACTGAAGTTAGTATTGATGATGTCGTCTAGAAAGACGATGAAGGCTTCTCTACGATTAAACAACTCAGCTCAGAAAACACAATACAACCAAAACTTGTGAAAACATCTAGTAGCACATACGACTACGAAAAAGAAATACCCCTACATACTGCCGCCCAAGCGATAACTGCTGCCTAGATGTGATGATCAGGTCGGTATACCGCAATGACCCAACAAACTATATTGACTGCAGTAAATGTTCCTTGAAGTTTTACCATACCAGAAATGTCTGTTGGATAGTGACGATAAGAATGAATGTTGTTACTATCATACTGCAGATAGCCTACGCCTTCATGACAATCCGAAGGTGGAGTCATAATGCTGGCTGGCTTCAGCAAGGGGAAATAGGAATTATAGAAGGTTAGCTCTAAAATTAGGCCACTCCTTCTATCCCCGTGGTCATCTAATGTTAATGGTATGAGATATTAAAGCCCGAATTCAATGCAGTGACAACTAAGCCTTGAACTTTCATAAAGGTTATGTATGACAGACCTCAAGTAGATGACTTTCAGGCCCTGCTGAATACGCTTGACAATAATACTTAAAAATTAAATGACAAAACATTCAAACATTTATTATCCTTGGAGGGAAATGACTACGGCTACAAATGATTCTACAAAAGGAAATGAATCTCCACAAATTGCTCAACAGTGGACAAACCATAAAGCTGTCTAGTCATTAGTGCTTAGTACTCATCGAAGTCTACGGTTCCAGTCACCCAATATAGACACTTAGTGAAGTGATACGACACTGCAATGCAATATGTTTTGGTGTTAAGTATGACGAGTCAGTCAGCAGAAAGCCCTGTCTCACCTAGCTTTCAAGCTTGTTGGTACATATCAGTGAAGTGAATCTGAAACCATGAGGAGACTCGTGTCCCCCTGGTGGTTCGAACCCATTACTCAGTGTTGAAGTCAGAGATCCGAACAGTTTAATGGCTAACTACTTGACTTCAGCGCTCAGTCACAACTCACCAAGGGAACACAAGTTTCCCTATAGTTGCCTGTACACCTCTAGCTGATAGGTGCAAACAAGCCCGAAACCTAGGTAGGCTCCCTATCAATTAATTCCCACCATCTGACATACAAAACAATGTTTACTTCTTGAAATAATCAAGAATATTTTCGGCTCAATATAAAGATGATAACAGATTGGTACTTATCCAGCTCTGTTATTTGATTGTAGATGTTTAAATCACCAGGCTTCATGACATCAACAGTAAACTAATGAAGAAGTTATATGCGTGTTTTAAGGTTATATGAATATTGAAGTGATGTGTTTGCTTACTTGCGTATGTTAGGGAAGAGATTAGCTCAAATTATATTGGGTCACAGTAAAAAATAATCTTTACAGTAGTGAAAATGTCTTAAACAAACAGTAGATTAGGTAGGTATCCACTGGATCTGTTGATTAAGAGCTTATCCAAACGACAGACGTCTAGAAATTCTTTTACAACTTTTGAATTTGCCCTTTTTAAGACTTTCACATTCTTTATATCAAAATTGCGGTTGTTTATTAGTATCGTCATTTGTTCTTTGGGTTCCTAGTGGAATACAAAGTTTCAGTAGCAGATCACCACTTCACTCTCTTCTATACAGTCTTTTCAAACTGGCTGCATCATTGCCATAACCTTTCATTTCTTTCCCACACCATCTCTTTCATGTCGTACTCACACGCCCAACTCGTCGTTTCCCATTTCAATTCCACTCGACGACCTGGCCTGACGTGTGATATCCCCGCACCGTCTTCTCAATATATGTCCAGCCCAAATCCATCCATCTCCACTCCCTTCTTCTGTATATTTGTTGCCAGGCCACACTTTCTCCTTGCTTATTCTTTCTCGCCTTCTCATCTCATCTTCAGTATGGAGTGTAGACAGCTATTGATGAATGTCTGTTGTTTTGTTTGAAATGCTTTCCGTAAGGCGCCAAGTCTCTCAACCATCACATGGAAGCATTGACTTGACTGACATTAGTGTTGAAAATCCGGATCTTGTTCACGCTTCATGCTGAGTGCAGTGTAGTGCAGTGCAGTGAAGTAGATCTCCACACTGATTTCAGATTAATCAAGGTGTGTCTTGCTATCTTTTCGATCCTGGCTTTGATGTCCTCATCTCTGCCGCTGATTGTAGTTGTCTGCATGCACTGAAACCAGGAATGATGCATCGTATCGCTTTATAGCTAGTTGGTATTCATGAATTCTTAGAATAATACGGCAACCACACTGGCAAGTGTCATCTTGCAAACAGCTGACTTCCTAAATTACACTTACCTTCTTTTCCCCTTGTCAAGGGTTTTTTTCGTTTTCACAGAAAGTTCTTCTGATGATTCCGTTGGTTTGTGTAATACTTCCCTTCCAAGTAGATGAAGTAAACGTAGTATACAGTAATATACAGTATACAGTAGTAATATTCAGTAAGTAATCAATGAAGAGATGAAGTAATCAAGAGAGAAGGAAAGACTATATACATACACATGCAAAACATTATATACATTTACCAAGGAAAAGAAAGGTTAACTACAGTCTCCTTCTGAGTACATACGTCAGGTTGAACATCTTCGATGATGAAAGCTTCAGCAAAACATTTGTTTGTTGATTATTCTGAAAGATTGAAAAACATCTATTTGATGTCCTGTTTCCATCAAATGCCTGGTGATTGCTACCTTGCTACCATCCAGACATAATCTCTCGGAATATGCTCATTAAATCGAGTAGACGTCCTTTTTTCAGTCTGTTCTATCTACTTGCTTTCACAAGCACAAGTGAATTGGTATACACAGTTGGAGGTGACGTGAGATGGATCTGCTTGTCTACTTTCAACTGTGTTATTCAGCATAATCTATTGTAAACTGATATCAGTCTGGCAAGAGGGAAGCTTCTTCTCAATGTGGCTTTTATTCTTCTATCCATTCTTTCACATGTCTCATCACCTTTGAATGCTAGACGAAGGAAACAGGCTTCTTGTCAACAGTTGGATGTCTTGATCTCTTAATATATTCTTTTCCATGCTTCATGATGAATTCTTCGGATATCAATTCTCTATAAGAACCTTCTCAATTATCCCGAATTCCCTTTCTTGTTGTTGTTTGAATACAACACTTCTTGTGAACTGTAGAGTACATGTTGTTGTAGTTTAACATTTAACATTCCCGTACACTTGTATCTATAAGGTTACATGTGTACCCAACTGACGTGAAGACAATTAAAAAACCCGAATCTCATTATTTCTCTCCTCCTCCTTTGTAAAACGAACTACTGAAAATCTTTTATTGATTAGTTTCAACATATTTTCCGTTCCAGTTGCCTTAGAAATTAAAAGTGTCATCAACGCATCGAAACTAAACTTTACCTTTTCGTAAGAACAAAAAATATTGATTCTAGTCAATTAAGTTATTGGCAGTATTATACCTCACTTGTTCATCGAATTTGTGCTCATAATTGCCTCAAGCCTAATGAATAAATATTCACAATTAAATAACAAAGTTCAGAGAAAATCAAACAGTCAAACAGTTATGATGCGAAGTTGTAAGAATGAACGAAAATACTTAACGATTGATAGACGAGGGTTGAGATGATTCAACTTGAATGATTCGCAAAAGAGAAATCACAAAACTGGAGACCAGATGAGTTTATACTATCTCGGACTGAAAACGTTTATTAGTTAAAATGGACCCTATTTATAGAGTTTAAGGTAACCTTAAAGGCAAGGAATAAGTAGTACATTTAAAGAGGCGGGAGCCAATCAGAACAATAGCCGGTTATACGAAGTATGACCCATGTGCGCGAAGACAGTGACAAGTAAACCAGTTCAAATATATGCAGACTGTAAGTATGGAACATAAAGGATATGGGCATCCCTAACACATTTCCGTAGTACTTGGGAAAGGGATTCATATATCTTGCTTCTAAGCAGTTCCAATCACTTATAACCAGGAATGTTTGTGTTCTACCATGGACTCAAGCTTCAATGTGAGAAACTTGGAAAATCTCCATCCAAAGAGAACTGATGGTGAACAGTAACTTTTTCAGTCTAAATTTGTAACAGGTTCAAAAGTATTTACAATGGGTGATGACTGAACGACCCAGTAGCTCAGTTGGTAGAGCATCGGGTCAGAAACCCAGTGGTTCATGCTTCGAACCCGGCCACGGTCCAGATTTTCATCTCAACTACAATCATCACCCAGTATAAATACCCCAAGTCTGTCAAACTACGGCTCGGATCTCAGACAGTCAAAAGATAATCAATATGATGCTCTCCCTCTCATTCTAATTCAGTTAGATTTCGATTGAGATAAAAAATCCTGACTATGGACAGCCAGTGTGGATACGGTGAAGCGGCATTATAGCATCATGAATTCATATAGTAGTCGGATAAAACCCCGCTTGTGATTTAAATTAGATAAAAATCTGGTCAGCTGTCAAACCTCGTTGAGTTGATAGAGCATCGCACCGGAAACTTTGTGGTTGGTGGTTCGAATCCGGCCACGGTCCAGATTTTCATCTCAACTACAATCATCACCCAGTATAAATACTCCAAGTCTGTCAAACTACGGCTCGGATCACAGATTAGTCAAATGATAATAATTTAGAAGTCTTAATTTCCACCTTACAAGACGTCTATTGTAAAAACTGCCAAGTATTTTAAATCATTGTTGCACTAACAGAAACAAGGTAGGTACTGAATGTTTAAACAGTTACTTTTGACGATATTCTAACTTCTAAGCAATGAAACCTAGTTATATTGGAATGATTGCAGGTACTAGTTCAAATGAAATTGTGATTATAGCAACCAAAAAACAAAATCATACAACTGAGTTGGAACTACAGACATTGAATAAAAATAGAAAATCCATTTGAATATATCTAACAGGACTATAACAAATAACTTTTGAACTGTAAATTAACATCTTAAAACCATAATTGGGGCTGTAACTCATCGATCTAACGAGTTGACTTTCAACCAGTGGGTTACTGGCTCGAACACTGTCCCATCTACCAAGATGGTTTGGGTAGCCAGTTAGTATCATTAGGCCTCATACACAATAGGTGTAACTCATCGCCTGCTGCACAAATATGCACAGGGTTATGTATACTGTTTATAATCAGGTATTCTATTCACACTTCTAGTTTGCAGATAACTATCAAAATAAAATTTATACAAAGTATATATATATATATATATATATATATATATATATATATATATATATATATATATATATATATATATATATATATATATATATATTAGTTGGTAAGCTACTTGGTGGCACTCCAAACGAGATCCAGCCTAAACTAGGTTTCGTCACCAAGCCATATCTGCAATCTTGGAGGAACTTATGTCTCCTCTGGCATTCGAACCCGCTTTACTTATTGCCGGAACTGATAGAGGAGAGGAAGATGGTGAAGCAGAAAATGAACCACTTCAGTCCAAGGATGAACAACGAAAAGAGGAACCCTCTGACCAAAGCAGAAGTGAAGCCCTGAACGCCAAGCCATAAAGTTGCTGAAATACGGGAAAGCAACAAGACCAGATGCAATCCCGCCGGAAGCACTAAAAACAGACGCAGAGACAACAGCAGACATCCTCACACCACACAACTCCTGCAGAACCTTTGCAAGGAAGGAAGAAAACGGTACCTTCCCATTGATTGCAAGAAAAGCTACCGTGCCAAACTCCCAAACAACTGGCACAGAATCATGCTCCACTCCTTCCCATACCAAGCAAAATATCAGGCCGCATCATCCTGGAGACACTAACAAATCCTCTCCATTCAAAATTACGACCGGAACAGACTGGATTCAAGAAGAACAAATCAAATGCGGATCAAAATGCAACACTACACTACGCATCATCATAGAAGAGAACATAGAATGCCAGTCAACTTTTCACCTCAACTTCATCAACATTGAAAACGCCTTCGATCGAGGCGTCAACCGACAGGTAATCTGGTAACTGCTGCAACACTACGGTTTCACTACCACAAACTTCCATCAACCTCATTCAACAGCAACTATATGCTATACGATGCTACGTGCCAAGTGATTCACAATGGAAAGCTCAGTGAAGTAAAGACAGGTTGACAGGTAACACAAGGTTGCCGCCTACTATCACTGATCACCTTCCTCACTGTGGTCGACTCGATGATGCAAGAAACTGTGAGGAGCGAGGAGAGGGGTATACATTTTGACCAATGAAAACACCCTACACCATTTACATTTCGCCAATGATGATTTATGTCTAGTGTTTCATGCCACAAAAATTCAAACATGTACAGGTGAAAACTAACAAATTGGCAGAACAGGCAGGGCAGCGAAGATGGGACTTCCTTCAGATGGACCTAGAGAGAACAATGAGGGTGAAGATACCACCCAACCAATCAACAACAACAACAAGCCCCAATCACCATCAACGGGAGAAGTCGAAAGGAAGTTATCAATTTCACCTATCTGCATACGTAGGCAGCATCGTTTCAACTACACGCGGCGGCGGTAGTGGCGGCACAGATGACGATGTCAAAGCTAACATCCCAAAGACAGCAAGACACGCCTTCCTTCATTAATTTGCGGAGATCAGACTCGAGATCTACTGCACGGCACTGAATTGCACTCAGCATAAAGCGTGAACAAGATATGGATTTTCAACACTAAATCAGTCAAGTCGGTGCATTTCCTTCGAACAAACTGCACACATACATCATCAACAGCTCCCGAATACCCTCATTCCATACAGAAGATCAGATTAGATGAGAAGGCGAGAAACAATAAGCAAGGAGGAATTCTGGCCTGAAGCATGAAGCTATCATCCGATAAATATGTAGAATAAGAAAGTGGAGATAGATTGGATTGGATATATACTGAGAAGACCGTTTTGCTGAGCGGACATCATGTGTCAGGTGCCAGATTGTCAAGTGGAACCGAAATGAGAAACAACGAGTTAAGCGTTTAAGGGTAACATAGAGTAGATGGTATGATTGGTATGGTATGGTTGAAAAGATTCCAGAGAAGACAATGAAATGGTAATCTGCTATTGAAGGTTATATGTTCCACTAGGAACCCAAAGGAGACTAACCTATTTATTCAGGCAATAACTTACTACCTTTAAAAGTGTTATAGAGAAGAAGAAGAAAAGAAGAAAAAAAACCATTGGTCATATAATAAACTAATCAATTACCTACCTTACGAGTGAATAAAACACATCGATTTATTCCAATGATTTCAGAATTCTTATTTCGAAAGAATAACATATGCTTATGTGATGATGCAGTAAGCGATGAATTAGTCACTATATTAGATGATTCATTCTTTTCATGATTATTGTTATTAGGTAATAATGATACTGTTGTATACTTTAATGATGAATTATTATCATTCATTATAATATGATTATTATTATTATTATTATGTTGTGTAAAACATTCTTTCTCTTCTTGTAATGCTTTAAATAATTCATAATCTAATGGGCATTTATCACATAAATATCGATTTATATTATAAATATGCCAATCACTTTTGAAATGATCTCGCTAGAGAGAAAAAAAAATAAGATAATAAATAATATTATTATCATTATATAATATGTATATCATTTTTCAATTTTAAAAAAAAACATACCATATCCATACAATTATTGATTTTCAATTGACATATATTACAATTAAAGTTTTGAAGAGATGATAAAGAAGAATTTTTTGATAAATCATCTAAAATATTATTTTATTATTTCATAATTAATTTACCAGGCTTTATTAATTCATTATTATTATTATCGATTGTTTCACCGATTAAAATTAAACCGGTTAACTTTTCTACAGCTATCTTTTGATCAAAAAATACATAACGATCACAAGTACGTTTACATCGACGTCTAATAAGACCAATGTTAGATGACATTCAATTGTGATAGGCTTAATTTATAAGAAAAAAGAAAAAAAAGGAAACACTAGTTTATTAAAATACAATATTATGTATTATAAGTAGTATTTAACAGTATATATTATAACAACAATCAGATGATGGTTTATATAGTGCATCTCAAACACCAGTGTTCATCTATCCATTCAAATCAACATAGGAACGGTCCAACTTGTCACAGTTCATATTAGTACATCAAGTAAGATAAGGGTAATTGTGCATGTATACATTTGCGTCATTGACATCAGTTCTCAGCCATATGATCACTTAGAGTCAGTCTCCAACCATTGGTTTCTTTTGTCCTGCCAACCCAAAACACCAAGTTTTCATCGCCCCACATAACTCAAACCAACAGTTAAATACTTCACACATTGATGACATATTTTAGTCTGGCCACCTTCAGCTTGAACCTAATTCGCCCAACATTGTTTGACATGGGAGACACCGACTAGGCATACAAAACATATGTCCCAGCCAGGCATCCTAGTCGATGGACGTTCACAACTGTGTCAACTGGTTTACCTCTTCTCCCTCCCTAAAACTCTACACCTGACTTCTGAGTTACTCAAGTGGTAACACCACAGAATACGGCCTATACTACGAAGCCAATGGTGGTCAAACACCTGAAGCCGCCTCATGTCTTCAACCATCGATGACCATGTTTCACAGTCATACAATAGAACATAGAGGACTGCTGTGCAGTACACATAACCTTTAAAAGACAATCGGATATCACGGCGGTGCCAAAGGTGGCGTGAGTGAAGAGATTTCATTAGATACTGAGCCACCAGGGCTGATCCTACTTCACAGATAAGTGAAGTGGTCAACACACTCAACCACTTCAATCTTTATTGTTAGCCGAGGCACTGTTGAAGATCAATCTTAGAGTAAGAAGTTACATTTGGGTGGTGAGAAACGCATCCCAAACATTCTGAAATTGCCACTCAGTGTGTCGAGAAGACTCTGCATCTTGTCAGCGTCTTCACCTAACAGGACTATGTCATCTGAGTATTCTAGGTCTGATGAAAAATTCTCCTGCGATTAGGTCAACCTCTGTGTAGTCGGGTGACGAGAGCGAGATCTCTTTCAACATCAGTATACAGTGATGACAATACCTTAAAGTATTCACTTGGTAAAACAATCGGAATAGTAATAGAATTTTGCAAAAACTGAGCAGCGATTTCCAATAAATTAACAAATCTTTTAAAAGTATATCATCTGCCTTCAAGCTAGCCAGTACAAGTGAAATCAGTTTCACGTACATCTCATAATAGCAAAAAAACAGACAGGCTACACGTAAAAATACTTTGCAATCATATTCAGGTCTGTATACTAGGCAATGAACGACAGCAGCTGCATGACAATTAACTGCTTACTTAAGTTTCAGTAGCTGAAGTGTAGAGCTGTGGCTTTTCCGTTTAGGTATTTGAATTTCAACCAATGAGTCATGGATTTGAATATCGCTCCAGCTACAGAGGTCTGAGAAGTCAACTAGTATCCCTGGTTCTCCACAATAAACATACCTTACTACCTACTGCAACAACGTCTATGGTGTTGCACTTTTTTCCAGAGGCTGAAGTGGGCTCCGCACCGACGACCCACTAGTTGCAAGTTAACCATGTACAGGTTATTACAACTTTGCTACACAAAGCCTAAACCATTGATGGTCAACTTTCATCCAGTGGTTCACAGGTTGAAACCGAGTTCTGTGTACCGAAGTTTCGACAGTCATGGGAGCTGAAAGGAAACTAGGTGATGCTGAGTTGCTAATAATGGACAATGTAACTCAACAATCACATGCAGATTAGCGTGCTACGAAACAAACACCTAATGATATCACCTGGCTGCCCAAACACCTGCTCGTTGAAAGTTGTGTGAGTAGACCAGTGAACCACAACTTGTCGATGAGTTACTACCTATTTTCAGATTTCTGTAACTTTCTAGTGGTTAAACTCAGCAACTAAGCATGCATTATATAATGATCTGTGAGTCATCTCTATTGTGTGAAACCTAAGAATAGTACCTAGATATCCAAACCTCTATATCTGGAGCGGGGTTCGAACCAGTTACATACTGGTTAAAAGTTCAATGCTTCATCTACACCTAGTTTTCTTGGAGAATGCATCCAACAGATAGTTCAGATGTTAAGTCAACTGAAACACTACAGACATAATTTCCATTCACCACTACTTTATATTTAACTTCTAGAGAATAATAGACAAGGGAATATACAACCTCGCAAGTGTGTGGAATAAAACTGCCACACTTATCAAAACATTAAAAGCAGGAAATGAATAGGAAGAGAATCATACTTAAATAAACAAGGACGAGTGGATGTAAAACAACAAATAAATTTTTAAAAAACAAAATTTTAAGGGTTTTACAGATGATAAAAAGTGTATACATCCGCTCCGTTCACACCTTCATGCAGATCCGACAACAAACAGGTTTGCCTAGGACTCTGGAAAGCCTCCCCATGGATGTACGCTGCATCTCAGAGACCCGTATCCAAGATCCAGTATATTCCTTCGAATTAGATCCCAACCTGTCAGCTCAAAGGTATGTTTCATGTGCGCTTATCTGGGGACCCTGTGACATCGACAACCAGCGTCGTTGGTGCCGGTGTCGCACTAAACGACCAAGCTGAAGCTCCATCACTCAAATCGATCCCCGTCAACAGTCACCTATTTGCTATTAGGCTAGAAGCTTCAACTTGAGTAAGAAGTAACCGGCAACAGAAACGATATCTCTTGAAATCTCTGCTTATGCTCCAAAGGATTGCAATCCGGATGCAATCAAGGGTGAATTCTATCATCAACTGAATGGCCTTCTCAACTTAGTGCGCTCAACAGATATCGTAGCGTTAGAGCAGGTCAGGCGTCTAGACTCACATGAGTTATTAAGGTGGCCAATGGAGACTAGTTGGCTGCAGGTCAAATCATGAGGATCGTCTTCTGCAGCTTTGCACAGATCACAACCTATTTCTAGCTAGCAACAACTTTAAGCACACACATTTCCGTTGTGCTACTTCGCATCCTCGCTCTGCCACTCAAGCCTCGACTCAAATAGATCATATTGCAGTCAACTACTGATGGCGTGCGTGCCCACACGACTTTCACTCCATATGCACTACTTGTCTCGACTCTGATATTCTTTAGTGTGTGCGAAGCTCGTTTGCGTTCCGTTGGTAATCAAAATCGTCGTCCTAAATAGGTCGATGCAAGCAAATTAGTTCCACCTAACATTCCAGCTAAATACCAATCCCAGCTACTTAAAGGCTACGTACCGATCCTCCAGAAAGTGTAGACTAGCATTGACTGCACTTACAAGACGCCATGAAAATGGCGAGTAAAGCCGCTTGCGGCTTAGAACGTCTCGATAATAAACACTGGGTCTCTGCGAGCTCCTTGCGACTTTTTGACGCCCGTCAAACCATTCCGGTGGATACCGAGTACAATGGTTCGCGTAAATCTCTTACGCGAAAGGTCACAACGCTCGCCCAGGGACCGACAGGTTTGGTGGTCAGAACGTTCGAGTCAGATGGAAGCAGCAGCTACATCTGGCAATAGTAGGAAACTGTTCCAGCTCATCCGAGCCACTAACGGCAAGAAGCTAGGTCCCAATGAGACGATCTGTGAGGTAGATGGTACGTCGGTAAACAATCTCCAAAGACGCCTGGAACGCTGGGTGGAGCATTTCAAAAAGCAGTTTAGCTGGCCCATGGTCCCAGCATTGTCACCTTCGGTGTATCGTGCTCCGTCCTCAGTTAACACTAACTCACCTAACAAGGCGGAGCTCGATAAGGAACTCCAAGTTTTGAAACGCCACAAGGCACCCGACCCACAAAACTCACTCCCGACTCCTTTGAAGGGTGAAGGAATGACTCTAGCCAATGAACTGACCAGGCTATTTGAGAATGTATGGCAGACTGAGAGTTCCCCAACCCTTTAGAATGAAGCCATCATCGTGCCCATCTTTAAAAAGGGTCTACGTAATGTATATGACAATCATCGAGGTATTAGTCCCTTACCAGTAGCAGCGAAAATAATGACTGCTAGCATACTTTCCAGACTTTTCAAAACACGTAGAAAATTACTCGCGAGGAGCAGGCCGGATTTCGTTCACGTCGTAGACGCACTGATCATTTATCCTCCGCCAGATTATTGAACATCGTCACATATATTGCAGACCAACGGTGGTTGTGTTTCTTTACATTAGGGCTGACTTCGATTCGTTGGACGGAGCTGTACTCTGGAATAGTCTGTTGGAGAGGGACGTACCCGAGAAATTTCGTAACATCTTGAAATCTCTATATAACAACACTTCAGGTAGAGTGAGGGCAAACAACCACATGTCTCTGTTGTTCCGAACCAGCAGTGGGGTCACACAGGGTTGCCCGATTTTAACATTCCTCTTAACTTTGCCATCCGTCACATTCTTGAAACAGCTCTGAAGGAAGTGCGTTATGCTGATGTAGATCTACTACCCTGAGAACAGCTATCCCACTTTGAATACATGGACGATATCGTCTTACTGTACGATAACATACGCTACTCAAGTCGCACTCAGTCAGTTGGCGTTTAGTAACCGTAAGTATGGAATATGCTTTGCACTATTAAAGTGCAAAGTACTCTTGTAAGATTACCAGAAGCCTGTGTCTGCGCTCACCCCCGGTGGCGAGCAGCTGGAAGTAGTCGAAAAGTTCGCGTACCTGGATAGTTGTGTGTTGGTGGTGTTTGGTGAAATTTCCAACTGCATATCGAAAGCCAGAGTGGCATATGTCAATCTAGACCACCTTTGGCAGCGTTGAGATGTAAGTCTGACTGTAAAAGATCGGTTTTACGTTTTGGTGTGAGCAGTTCTGCTCTACGCCTGTGAAAAATGGCTCCTCTCCGAGCTGGGATATGCGGTGACTATGTGTGTTCGACCATCGTTATCTCCGTAGAAATGCTCGTATTCGATGGCAACACCATTTAAAT